TGGAAATTTTTCAATCGGACCATTCGTTAAAAGTTATGCGTGATCAACGTTTTCTTCTCTTCTCCATCTCCCTCTCTTTTCTTGTTTTGGCCTTTATTTCGTTAGGAACATGAGCCAATCGAATTTTTTAAGTGCTTGAAGTGAGCCATTATGGATAGAACAAAAATATACTGGGGCTTTTTTGAGGCGCATTTAATGACTCGAACAATAAAAGCAATTGTATGAATCACCGAGGGGCAAAATACAAGTAAAAGTCGGAGAGCTCTTCAGTTTCTCTGTGTCGAAAGTGTTCGCTAATGATAGTTATAACCTTGACTTCAGTTATAGGCCCACCCCCTGCTGTTAAATGCCGAAATGCGGCCAAGAAAGTTAGTGATACCCCGAGGCACTTGACTCCCGCTGATTTTGAATTGCCATTTGCAATGACCCAATTCCGTTGGCCGAATCCGCGGTATGGGGGATAATTAATCAAGAAATAGAGCTTCAGTTTCACTCGCCAAATGGGGAAAAACGACCCAAATTTATAACGATCAAATAAACGAACAACTGACGACCATTGTTTTCGTACACAGAAACAAACTTTAATCTAGTATCAAGTGGAAATTAAATTGATTAGAAATCTTATCAAATCGTATGTGAAATGAGTGTTTAATCTGAGAGTTTTCTAAACAAAGTTATTCAAACTACTAAAGACCAAACAAGTTTTTAAAATATGGCCAAAAATTATCTCGGTTTACATGATTGTTAGGCAGCACGATCTATTGTATTAATAGAACCCTAGATCAAACGTTCTTTATTTTAAGTTAAATAACTTCGTATATCTTCCCTATATCGAAGCCATTTAAACTCTATCCATTTAGAGAAGTCACCCATAGTTTTCTTTCTCTGTACCTTCCAAATAATAATCGTTTAGCATTAATGCAAATCGTGGACATTATGTCAGCGATCGGTGATTGCAGTCGACGAAAGCGAAAGTGTGTCAGCGGGATGGGTTTATAGGTGGCCATTAAGAGCAAGTGAGATGGCTGGAGACATCAGTGGAGCGTGAAAGATTCTCTGCAGGTCGCTGCACATGGGAGGGAGGTGGAGGGGGACTTAAAAGCTCAGAGCATGCGTGCCTGCTCAGTGAAATGGAATGGAAAAGTGGGAGGGAGAAAGGTGGGGTCTCTTATGAGAGAGCACGATCGACTGCAGTGACGACTTTCACTAGAAACGAAGCACAATAAAAGCTTGATAACATAACTTTTCACAGCTCTCCCGATCAACGATCGTCACTCTCTTTTTCCATCCAACATGACTCACGATCTCTCGTTTCGTGCAATTCCTATCGATATATGTGTATAAATATATATAAAGTAAAGTACCCACATATGTACGACTATATAAGTTCTAAGCGGCTTAAGTGCATATCATAGGTATATGCCATATCCCACCCCCTCATCCGGCAGAGGTGGGCGTAAATTGCCAAAGCAAATGGCATTTCTGCAAGGAAGTTGTAAATCTGCTGCCAAATAGAATTGTGAGCGGCCCGAGTGCAAAAGCGTTCATTAAATCCCCAAGTCCCACTGAAGCATAAAAAGAGCGAAAAATGTGCTAGGCTTTTGACAGGTAGTCAGAACTAAATACCCTTTCGGAAAATATGATTTTTGGAAATATTAACTTGTTGTTTATTCTACACTAAATTCACTATTAAATAAAATTAGAAACAAATTTAAAAAAATTACTCTCATAGTCGCACTTTCTTCAATGTCCCATTTAATTTTCCATCTAACTAGTCGAAATTACCGATAAATACAGGTTTGATTTTATGAGCCATGTCATTAGAGTAATTAAACGCATTACATGTGCACTTTCCTTTAAAGAAGAAATGTTTATGGTCGTTTGAATATTATTTTATGTGCTGTTTATTCCTAACGATATCGTTATATATTTTATTACAAACATTAATTGATGAATTTATACATGGTGAAGTATTCCAGTTCCCAACTCCCATTTTGGTTAGGGTATACGACCAGACAGACTCTCCAACATTCATTGAGAAAAACCTTTCGGGACGTGCGTGCACAATACTTGGGTTTTACGACCTTCTGCGACGCCCACAACGAGGCCCGCTGCACTGAGAGAAATGCAATTAGAGAACCGTCGAGGACTTGGTGCTGAGAGGGCTTCCACAATCGTCGACAGACGTCAGACAAACGCCGACTGCCGGCCCACACACAGATCACTTCAGGTCTGGTCTGGTCTGGTTCTGGGATATGACTTCAACTTCAACTCAAACTTTAAGATCCCAGAGTCTGGGTGCAGGCAATTAGAGGGGAAAGACTTATGGCCCGGGTTCAGAGGTGCCAACTTGGCTATATGCTTCTTACCAACAGTGCTAGAAAGTCCAAAGCCTTTATGTATCATTGCATAAATTTTTAAAGAGGTCTTCTTGAAGAAATAAATATAAATATAAATAAATAAAAATAGATAAAAATAAAAAAAAAAAAATAAATAAATAAAAATAAATAAACATAAATAAAAACAAATAAAAATCTTATATTTATTTAGTTAATTTTTTAATTACCTTAAAATATTGCCCACAAATTTAACCCCCTCTTGACTTGCCTTTTTCCTGTGATCAACAGTTGACAGCACTGACTGGGTGAGGTAATGGCATTAACATCCAATTGGCCAATGAACCCGAACCCGTCGATTATGAAACCGAACTCTTCTGGGCGGCGGTTAATTAGGCGAACTTCGTCAATTGCCTTAATTAAGACCTTCTGCCCTGCGGCAGCGGAAGTGGAGCAGTGCAAAACTGACCTCTTAACATTCGGGAATTTCAATTGGTAGCCACACACCCATACCATACATTCATGGGTTAGTTGTTTAGTATGTGCCACATGCTAACAGGTCTGCTGCCCTTGTCGGCTTTATCGAAAAGTCAATAAATACCTGCCGCGGAATCTTATCAACTCCTTGGCCGCACCATCGATATCTATTAGTATTTATTGAATAAACAAAATATGAAAGCCAGCCCAGAGCCAAATAAATGTCACAAGAGAATCGATGAATCGATGGCAAACCGCAGAGCCCAAAAAGGTTTCCTCAGATCACAATCTTTAACAATATCGAATGAACAGACGACTCCCGTGGTGTTTGGTGTTTGTGGTTGCGCGAGGTAATTCAAAGACTTGACCTGGACCCCGCCCCCTTGGCCATACACTTGTGTCCACAGATGAAAATTTCTTATTCCCCGTTTTGTTTGTTTGTCTTCGAGTTGAAGAGCCAAACAAATATCAAGACGGAAAGGGCAAAAAGAAGACGGGCTGGTGACATTTGATAGTGCATGCGGTCAACGGCTGGCGATATCTTTCGGCGGGTTGGGTTCTATTTATAGGTCGATGCAATCGGTAATGCCCTGGACATGCGGCCCGCAGATGGAGTCACGTTCGGTGGCCCAACTAAATGTCAGCCACTTGCACAAGTGGTTATCTTTGGGCTTTGCAGCGGATTCGCATTTATAAGCTGGTGGGATTAGCGTAACAAGCCCATAAAGGCCTGCGAAACACCCGACCGCCCAACGTGATTCATTCGCCCTACTCATGAGAACGTAATTGATACAACAAAGGCCATTTTTCGGATCCCAGTGTTCCTTATCAATCATTTGACTCACAATCTTAACCCTTAGGTAATTGGTATTTGTTCGACTTTTGAAGGTTGTCTAGAATTAGTGGGTTTTTTTGTAACTACTTCAACTATTTCCTTTTTAACAAGTTTTATGCCTGAAAATGATAAACTTTAATTTTAATGAACTCCTAATAATAAACTTCGAATACATCTCCTGCTTAACCAAGAGTTAACTAACAGAGATTGTCTAGAACTAGTGGGATTTTTTGTAACTATTTAAAATACATTTCAAAAAGTTTTATGCCTAAAAAAAGTATTTTGTTAAACTTTAATTTTAATGAACTCCTAATAATAAATTTCGAACAAATCTCCCGGTTAACCAGGGGTTAACTAACAGAGCTGTTAAGTTCACAGCAGTTTGTCTTTGTGCTAAGGGCAGCGTTATCTAACATCCGCTGTTGGCGGGCGTGCAATAATAATAAAGAAAGTCAACAAAAGAAACACAATGCTTATGACTAACTCACTAATTGAATAAAAGCTCTCTCGTCGAGAAGGAAAACAAATGCAGCGTGTGCCCCGCCGAAAGCAAATCGGCGTTACGATTTAAGTGGGTCAGCAAACCGCACGGAGCCACCCAAAACATAAATTGCAAATCTCAAGACAGACCTTTTCTTGGCCACACTTGTATGGTAATGTGGGTCAAAAGCCCAAAATTATGTATTATCATTAAATTTCATTACAACCGACTTTTCGAGCGCTTAAATAATGTCGAAAAAATTCGGACTGCTCAAAAGCGGAATGCAAAAACAAAGCGAACCCGTTACACCGCAATTCACGCAATGCCACCACTCAGTGGGTTGTTATTTTATTTTTCCCCCACTTTTTTATACAGTTATAGGAACGGAACGAAACGGAGTCGTCGAGCCACCAAATGCAATGGCCCCGGCCCCATCCCAATCCCAATCCCATCGAGCCAAAGAAAGCCAACTTGATGGTCTCTTCTTGTACGCATGTCCATATTCGGAGTTCGGAGTTCTTGGAGAATGCGTAGAATCTCCACACGGAAAGAAAATATATGATTGGACTTATATGATGCAGAACTGATCCTGAAAGTTTTGGGTCCAATGTGCAACGTCTGCTATACAGCAAATAAATATAAGTGGATATTACTTATGGTAGAAAGTGCGGTAAAAGGGATTTTTCTAACGAATTCTAACTTATCTGTTAGTTCGAAAATTATTAAAAATATATGTTTGTACGATAATATTAATATTTAAATCTCTAAATATTTTGACAGTATATATCTTATTTTTTCTCTGTGCACCTCTCCACCCCGTTGACTCATGTCATTTCTGCACGCAGGAGTTCAGTGATCCCGCCCCGCTTACCAAAAAAGTCCTCCCATCTCTCCGAGGTGTCCGAATCGGATTCTATGTCCATCTTGGTCTCCTCCGGCTGCTTGATTTACGAGTGCGTCTTGTTTGGCTTTGGCCAGGTCCCGTCCTCTCCTGGCTTGTCTCTAAATTTAGACAACGGTGGCAGAGCAACTGGCACTGAAGGAGGTCGTTATTATCGCGACTGTTTCTTCGGCTGCTGCATTAGATATGGCCGGAGATACAGTATCTGAAGCGGGCGAATTGTGGCCAAATGACTTCACCCGGCGCAGAGCGGAAAGGCAAAGCTCAATCAATGGCCAGCCGATAAGATAAGCGCCCGATTTAACTTTAAACACTGGCACCGAACTGTGCGATTTTCTTTTCCGTTTATTTGTTGTATGTGTGTATTTCTTTTTTTTTTTGCAGGTACGACTACGAGTATCTGGCTTTATTCACCACTAGTCGCCGATGTCGATATCTTATCGCGGCCTACGAAGCTCTGGGGCAGAGCAAATATAAATATCCAGCAGGTAGGGAGGCATTGTGGCCAACAGCTGGTGGCCAGCGATTCGGAATGAGAATACGCGAATGTATCTCAAAGTTGCGCTCAGTTCTCGGAACTTTCGGATGACTAAACCGGCTCGCGAACTTTTGTCTCAGAGGTTTTTTATTGGGTTTATTAATTTTATTTGGGCTAGAACCAAATTGCGGGGATCCTCCCTCACTGATCGCCGATCGCTGATTGAATTAAAGTAATGGGCTGACGCTCTACACTTGTTGTTTTGCGAAACGAAAACAAAACGAAAATTCACAAATTGCAGATACAAGTATCTCGCGCTTCGCTGATTTTCCAGTTTCTCCCGTGCAAATCACCTTCGCACCGTTACTTCTAATTGCGGCAAATAGAAAACACTCTCGTCTCACAGATACGGCTGCACATGCAGATACACTTGTGTATTTTCAGATATAATTTTCGATTTTCCTTTTTTTTATTTATTTTTTTTTTGACGGGTAGGGGGCGGTACACAGGCACACACACGCTTACTCGCTGGAACAGCTCGATAGCTCCAGGAACGACATTTCCAGCGCGCGTCTCAGATCGAACTGACTTTACGAAAGGCCCCCAAAGTCGGAAGACCCGAACCAGCTCTCTTAGGCGAGTCAGTTCTTCTCTTAGCTATGCTATTACTGATCGGGGAGAGCCGTCGGAAGTCCCAAGACGTTCGGTCCCAACATTGTATCTTTGTATCTTCGGAGTGCGCAACATGTTCGAGTTGCGATACAAGATACCAGATACAGGTAACCAGCAGCAACAGGTAACTCCTAGCAGTCGTTTGTGCATGATCGGCAGCACCACCAAGTGGATATGATAATCCATTCGTAGTACAGCTCGACTGATTAGGAAAGAAAAAATATATTTATTAAATTGTTTTAGTTTCAACAACTATTTTTAAAGTTTTTGAAAATTTTAAAATATTTAAATGTTTTTTTAGAGACATTAAAAGAAATATTTTATAACTTATTAAAAATAGCCAATTGTTTATGACGATCAAGAAGGAAAGTAGTCTAGACCTTATTGGAAGGAGCCAATTGGTTTTGTTGTGGGCGGTGATATCAAGAACCAAATTTTTTAAAGGAAAATTTGATATGCTTTAAAATGGCTTTATTTTTTTCATATTATATTATCTATATTTATTATTTTTAAATAAAATAAATTTTTTTTTAAAATTATAAAATTAAAATAGCAAAAGATAAAAAAAACCTTAACTAAATGAAATATTCTTGGAAATATTATTGTAGCTAACCAAAGTCCCCAAACGACTTACTTATGCACAAGATAACGCCTAGCAGGAGGTGCAGAGGAGCCGGTAAATGGAAGTAAAAGAACACAACCAATGCAACAAGTAATGCCACGCCCACCAGACCGATGATGAATGACAAAAGAGAATGGCCCAGCACATGTCCTGCCGAATTGAGTGGGGATAGGGTTAGAAAATCGAAGATTTAAGAGTCAGAACTCACCCACATGGTGCCAAAGAGCAGAAATACTTTGGCCAGGGCATAGATGAGGGCGAAGACCATTGCTAGGGTCATGAGCAGGATATTGGAGTTGCCCGTGATTAACTCGAACAGACCCACAGAAAATATAATTACGGCCAGGATCATCCCCGTGAAGCCGATGAAGATGCAGCCGATGTAGAGCGACACATAGCCGCAGAACACGCGCAGACACATTTCGATTTCCCCTGTCTTTTGACTAGAAATTACAAGCACATACTTTACTAGAATTTTGAACTAAATTTTGGATTTCAAAAGATTACATGTTGACATCAAAAACAAGCTAAATATTAGAGTTACTTTACTACAACATTAAATTAATCTGTTCAGATGCTGATATTAAAAAACAAGAATAGCGAACTAGCCGAGTTTATGTACCATCATTCCTATTAAATTGCGTATTTGTTGCAACCGAAAAAATTATAGCTGCTGTAATTTCTATAGCATATATGTATGATTTATAAATGATATAGTCATCTGAATTTTTTAAAAATTTAATTCTATGACTTCTATGGGAACTACGTAATTCATTAGACAGGAAGTGACTCCTATGGGTAATCAAACATGCAAACATCCCACTATAAATTATTATTAAAATATAAATATATTAAAATGTAATCTTCAAATAGACCAAATCTTAATTTATTTTTAATTTACAAGCACATCGATTTACTTATTTTTAATGTATATTTTTTGACTTCAACATTTTTGTTGTAGTACTCATTTCAAAATTGGCGCTCAAACCCAACCAGCTGTTGCAGTGATGGAACTTGGCTGCTATCGATAGTCAATCTAAAATTGTCCTATAACCTCGCCAAACTATCGTTTCCCAATTAGCATCCATCCAACTAACTAAAGAATCAAGTAAATAATGGATATAGCCGGTGCGCCGCCGAATAAGCGAGCACGGAAATCGCCCAGCCTGGAGGAGGACATCACTGGGATCCGGGCCATCCTGTCCGATGAGTTTGACGAGGAGATACCACTGATCCAGGCGCACAGTTGCCAGTTGGAGACGAAACAGCAGCTGCAGGCGGTCATCCAGGAGCTCTCCCAGAAGCTGCCCCACTTCCAGCACCTGAAGCGCGTCCAGGATCGCAGCGTGCTCATCTGCCCCAGCTCGGAGATCGGGGTAGCCACGACCCTGGAGCAGCACCTTGAACAGTTCGCCTTCTCGGAGCACGTGCTGCGTGCCCTGTGCCAGGGAGTCCGGGTGGTGGAGGTGCCGCAACGGATGCCCCGGCTGCGGGCGCAGTACGAGAAGACCCTGAAGCACTGGCCCTGCAAGTTCCACCCCAATCACTACTCCGAATCCCTGCGGAATGGCAGCAACTTCAGCTCCGCACAGCGCATCTTCCACAAGAGGATGGCCCAATTGCTGGTGAGGCTCTCCCGGGATGTGAATGCCAACCGACCAGTCGGCATCTGCGTGGATCCACGACAACTGAACATTGTATCCATCGCTGGAGCCGCTGAATCCTCAAGTCCACACGAGCATTGCTGCATGCTGCTGGTGGATTTTGTGGCCCGAAGTCAAGAGGGAGGAGCCACAAAGGCGGAGCTCCCATTCACAGAGGATTCTACGGAATCCTTGGACACCACTCTGCGGGGGATACCCAAGGCCTACTACGATTACCTGATCAAAGATGAAGAGTACAAAGACCTAACCTTCGGAGCGGAGAAGTCGAGGGATAGTATAGGGAGTAGATCCCATTCAAGGATCCGATAATCTGGCCAAATTCGGACCCTATCTGTGCACCGGCTACGATGTCTATCTGCTGCAGGAACCCTGCCTCATGTGCTCCATGGCGCTGGTTCACAGCCGGGCGAAAAGGGTGTTCTTCCTGCGCAGCTCGGAGAACGGAGCTCTGGCCACGCGATTCCAGCTGCACTCGGTGCGGGAACTCAACCATCACTACGAAGTGTTCCAGTTCACCACCCAGGAGGACCAAGACTTGACGTAACGTTTAACAGACCTTGTTTTAATAAAGAAGTTTTATAGAATATCTTCGATTTTGGGCGTCGTTCTGGCCGTCGACTGGCGGGTGGGCGAGGACAGGAGGCCCAGCAGCTGGCAATCGGCCTCCAGGATGGTGATGTCCTTGGTCGAGCCCAGGAATTTGGTGGACAGCTCCAGGTCCTTGACGCGCAGACGAACGCGGGCTCCTCGCACATAGTCACTAGGATTAGAGGTGGTTTAAGTGCATGTAGATACAAAGGATTCCCTTAAGCTCACCTGGCATTCCGAGAGGGGCGACTGCAGACGCAGTGGAACTTCCAGCCAAAGTCTATGTACAGATCATCGCCCACCACATGGAAGATCTTGCCGCTGACCACTTTGCCCTCTGCGTTGCCCAGCTGCTCCAGAAATCCAAGAGGTTATTACATAAACAAGGGGATTACTTGGACAGAACTCACATCTATTAGCTTGGAGTTGCGGAGCAGGGAGGCGAAGGTCTGGTTGTCCTCCGGCAGCTGAGCGGGAGTGGCAGGAGCCGTGTACTTGTCGAAGGCACGGGCAAATCCTCCCTTGCTGCTACCAATCTCCGCCAGATTCTCCACGGGAGCAGCTCCCTCAGCCGGTTTTTCCGTTTCGCCGCTGATTAATCTAACGGCCACTGGCATCCGATGGCGGCAGGTTAAAGAACCCAACTGGAAACCGGATCTACCTAGTTTTTGCAGCAGCGACATGGTTTTAATTTAATATTTTAAAATAAATAACCACAAGAAGATCCAGGCCAATTGGAAAAACAAAGAGGAAGAACGGTATCGATAGACCGCAAATCGATTGGCAAAGCAGCTGGCCCAGCACATCACTAATCCATATTACAAAAAACACGCTGCCGGCATTTATTTTGATATTACGAAATCGGTTGTTAGGGTAAAAATAATTGACTATTAACCAGCAAAATGATCCAGCAACAGCGCCAAAGAATCGAGGCTGCGGTGACGGAGATGATCGACGACATGGACAAGACGCACCTGCGCAAAATGCAGGTAAGTGGATTGTTCTTGGGAGAGACTTCCGAAATTGACTTACTTTTCATCTAATCCCAGAACGAGATGCATTTGTGTGCGGCCAAGTGCTGCCAGGACGGAACCTCCAGCGTGGACAGCGTCCAGAGATGTGTGGACCGGTGCTCCACGCCCATGACGAGGGCCCAGAACTACGTCCAGCACGAACTGGGGGAGTTCCAGGGCAGACTCCAGCGTTGCGTCATGGTCAGTACCCATTGCATCAACTTGTTGCTCTAGGGATCCTGTAGGAAGTGCATCATAATATTTCCAACATAACATTTTCCATAAAATCTTCTATCTTCCATAAAAATATAAAGACTAGACTCAGAATATTTAATTTCTTAAGAACAATATATATCAAAAGTTTCATTAGACTATAGTCCGTAAACTATATTTTTTATATAATATAATTTATAATTTCCTGAAGCCGAAATTAGCAGGCTTCAGTAAATTATATTTATAAATTATAATCTTAAGTAGATTACTAATAATGTTGTTTTTGGATTTTTAAATTCATGTTAGTTTTTATTTTCACTGGAATGCTAAAATTGTCTTTGAAATGATTTTATAACTTAATTTTAAGAAGTTAATTTTTTTTGAATGAAAGCTTCAAAGATATTCCTTTCCTCCCCATATGTACAATTAAAAAAATACTTGCAAACATAAAATAACTAAACAAATTACCCTTCCATAGCAATGCAACGACGATGTGAAGGTAAAAATGCCGCCCAATCCCAACGAGGATCAGATAGCCAAGTACACCGACCAGTTCGAGCGCTGTGCCATCCAGTGCGTGGATAAGCACGTGGGCCTCATTCCCGGCATGATGAAGACCATGAAGGCTGTGCTCTCCAAGGGACCCGAGAGCATTCCTCAAGTCTAAATCAACCTGCATTTACTACCTAATTAGTTGTTGAACTCGATTACTTTTAAACCGTGCAATGTTGACCATCCCTGGAGTCATTTTACATTTTGCTTACACTTTTAAGAATTTAAAACACAATTTACCCTATTAGTTGTTGAAAGTCTTAGGTACCGATCAAATGTAGTGCTAACAATCTCTGGAATCATGTCAAATTTTGCCATCATCTAAAAAAAAATACAAATACTTTGTACACCGAAAACTGTCATCGACACATTTAGTTTTGTTATTTCAAAATTGTTCAAATTTCGAATAGTAATGGTGGAGCAACAGAAAAAGCGTTTGGAGAACGCCATTAGCGACATGATCGAGGACATGTACCGCACCCACTTGCGCAGAATGCAGGTAAGTGTGGTCTTCAGTTGGCTAAGACGAACTCCTGGAAAATAATGATGTTCCCAAGTCCACGATGCACCGCTGTGCCGCCGGTTGCTGCGATGATGAACGAGGGACGCTGGAGAGCGTACAAAACTGCATCGAGAAGTGCGCCGGACCTCTGATGGATGCTCAGGACTATCTGCAGCACGAGCTGGGCCAATTTCAGAACCGCCTCCAGAATTGCGTCAGGGTAGGATTAGAGTGCTTATAATTGGGGTTCTAAACCTTTTTTCTTAATCCTTTAACGGTACTGTGGTTTTAACCGGAATCCATTGATCGTATTGTATTCAAGTCCCTAAAAAGATTTAACATATGTGGTCATCGGGTGGTGGACTTTCTTTATAAATTGATCTAAGCATTTATGTTACTGTTTCAAATCATTTGCATAAATCATATTTTTAGGTCCTTTCATATTTATTTTTATTTATTAATACAGTTTTATTTAATTGTTATATTAATGTTATAATATTTTCCTGAAAGTGTTGTTTGTCCTTTTAAAAGCCAACAAAATATCTTCATTATTTTCGGAGCTTATTTAAGACGGTTTCGTATCTTCTGCCGTGATCGTTTCTTTTTCGTTAGGTTCTTGAATATATAGTCATGGAGGAAATAGTATAAACGATCTGGTCTCGTTTGTTTGACTCAAATATTTCTTAATAAAATAAACAAATTTGTTTATTTTATGAATTTCAAGGATTTTATGTTTAAGTACAAGTTTGGTTTATTTACTAAGAAATATTTTAAAAGAACGATAGCAAATCAAATAGTTTATATTACCTTTTTCTTTCCTGATCTTGTCGTGACTTTTTTGCGATTATTATTCCAAAAGTGTTAAGAAGAGAACAGATAGTTTTGAATAGGCATTAAATAGCTTTAAAATAACATACAAATTTTTAAAGATTTTAATAAGCTAAGATCTGAATTATTATATTGGCAGTTAATACATCCTTAGAAAAAATCTCTATTAAAATGTAACAGTTTTGGGAATTGCATGCTAAATATTACAACTTTATTAAACTTTAGACCAACAATAGTATTTTAAGCTTCGGTACCGGAAATAAGCCATCATTTCTCTTTTTAATTCGTTTGAATATCCGCAGGATTGCAACAGCGATGCCCGTTCCCGTCTGCCCAGCAACCCGAGTGACCGGGACATGTCCCGATCCCAGCACATGTTCGAGAGCTGCACGAGCGGCTGTGTGGACAAGCATATAAATCTCCTTCCTGGGCTGCTCAAATCGATCAAGCAGACACTGGACAGAGGTCCTCCCAAGAGATCCCGCAACATGGACGCCTAACCCATTAAATACGCCCGTCGAAAAGTCAATGATACACTTATTTATTGAATATTTTTGGTACAGCTAACACTAAAGATACACTAAACGAAACTGCGATCCGGGGAGGGCTTATCGTGGGAAGGCTTATCAGCGCCCACGTGGCCCTCGCTCAGCCTGTTTGAACTCCAAGCTCCCGGATCTTCTTGGGCCCTAGCTCATTAAATATCTAGTAATAAAGATTCTTAGTAATATGCAACAATACGAGCAACTATATTTGGGGATCTGGCTCAGAGTCTACTGCTCGTTCTGCTTCGTCCTCACGCCGTACTTGCTCCAGAACGTGACCTTTGCGGTGGTCTTCTTCAGGTTGTCCTGGAACACGGAGCACGTGTCGAAGGGCGGACAGTAGAGGTGCAGGGAGACGGAGGTGTCCGAGTGGCTGGGATTCTCCACGCGATGCAGGCCCAGATTGTCTATTAAAAAATATTTTAAAAAAATCCAGTAAATATACGAATATCTCTATTTTTGCCAGTTCCAATTTCCTTACCATTTATGTAGGCCACATCGTTGACTGCAATGGGTGTCTCACCGATCTCCACCAGCTCTCGGCTATCGATCTCGCCATCGGGATGATGAGATCGCCCGGTGTCCCTGGCTGATCTATTGGGGTACTCGTAGCGCTTCTCGCGCAGATCCCCCTTCAGCATCTTCATGAAGCAGTGAGAATCGGCATGGTCGTGCACGGAGGAGCCATGTCCTTCGCCCCAGCACAGGATCAGCAGATTGAACTTTCCATTGCCAGCATCCACCAGATTCCGGGTGTACGTATAACGATCGAACTTGGCGTACTTGCGCCACTCCCGCGGATTCGACTTGTAGGTGAGCATCAGGTGATTCACCATCTCGATGTTGACGTAGTTGGACTCGAACTCCCGGTGGAGGGCAGACACCAAGTCGCTTAGGGAATCCACCGCTGGTCCGTACTTCAGGGGCTTCTCCAGAGCCTGGTAGTAGCTGGTGGCCTGGCGCAGGTACTTCTCCTGGTCAACCTGCTCGATCTCCGAGTCGATCTTGGACAGCGACATTTTGGACTTGCTCTGATTGACCTACAATTCGAAGGGATCAATTCGTGCATCAGTTAAGTTGGAAAGTGAAGGGCGTGGAAAACTACCTATTCTGTCTATAGAGTTCAATTCGCAATTGATTTAGATGAATTACGTTGTAAAGTCGATGATCGCTGCTGATAGCTAAAGGCTGTCTATATTGGGTATATATTCCGATGCTGCTGGAAAATATTGAATTGTTTCGAGTAATCGCACACGCTCCTCCTCGGATCGCAAAATTCGAACTGATCTGAGACACCCCGATTTCCGAAGATTTCGCTCTCCTGCCCGGGCTATAGATTATATAGTCAGATCGGACGTAAGTCGTAAGTCGGAGGCGCAAGTCCGAAGCAATAACAAAAAACAAGAAGTAGCCGGCGGTAATCGCCCAGCCCCTTATCAATAGGAGATTCTGCCAATACCCTGGGCTATATATACTATATGCCTATATAGATGGATCGAATGTTGCCAGGAGGGGCTCAACAGATGCGCCTGAAATTCTGACAAGAGGTTAACGGCGTTCTAATGGCATCGTTTGGCGAATAAAAAACAAATTTATTCTATATACTCGTGCCCAAAAAATATTAAGCGATAGGGACTACTGATAGCTAGTTTAATCTGGTTGCTGACGCATTTTTTGAAGATCTACGGGTAGGCCAAATCTTATTTGCGACATTTATTTATCAGCCTGGACGTTCAGGGATTTTCCCTGAAGCGCAAAGCTATTATGCTTCAATCTGCCACGAAAAAATAAAACTTTCTCTTAAAGTGTGGCAATTTTTATCTACAAAAGATTCAGATATTTTTAGTTCTAATAAAATATTAAAATTTATTGCCTACTTTTAGGTTTGTTCCAGATTTCTTTAATTGCCTTTCCTGATTTAAACGATTTATTTGAGGAATGCGACGATGCATTTGAGTTCTCTTTGTGATTCAGGAAGTTCATTAGTGACTAACACACTGACCTTACTTTCTCCATCAAAAACAACTGATTAAACAAAAGGGTTCTTTTATTGTTCTCATCTGGAAGTTGGGAGTCATAATAACCCCCAAATATATGTATTATATAACTTTGGGTTACAAGAAAGATGAAGAAAACACTTTCCATCTTGGCTGCAATGAACTTGCATTGTAAGTAATAACTTTTTTACGATCCCCAAGCTTCAAGCACCGTTATTAAATATTTTCCCCCTAGTGCCACATCAAGGTGTTTCGGTTTGGTATTTGAAAAATGTTTTGCAATGGCCAAAAAGCATAAAACTGCCAGCTTGGCAGCCAACTTTCGCAACAGTTTAAGGCCAATAGCAAAGTCAAAGCAAAAACTAAAAGCTGCGAACTGCCATTTGTGTAAATATTAAACGAGGCGGACAAAAAGTTTGGAAAATTGGTGGAAAGCCTGAGTCGATTTTCAAAGCAGTTCAATAAACCAAGAGTGCAGTGGAATTTTCTAATCTTACAACTGTTTTGGCAATAAAAGTGGTTTTGAGGGACTTGATAAGGATAAAGGACTTACCATTTTGTCTTTGTAGTTTCACTTTTTTATTAGCTATATGAACTTGATAAGTTTGTCTGATCTTTGAAATTCACTTTTTAAAAAACACTTTTGAATCAGGACTTGGACTTGCACTTTTTTTTGAATTTTCACTGGGTAGTTGCCACTTGGATGCGCGCCGCCGTGTTTGTGTGCCTGTTTTGGGTATCTTTCACCAATTTATGGAGATCTTGGCCAGCAAAGCCCCCATTTCCACTCAAAACGCAATTCGAGCCACAAAAACGACGCCGGCAGAGGCATCGCAGCTCGAATGGCATTTTGAGTGCTTTTTGAAGTCGCGAGTCAAAACTCAAAACTCAAAGCGGTTTCACTCGCTCCATCTTGGCTTGTTGTTGTTTGCTCAGTTGGCCAGGCCCGAAATTTATGCTACCACCACTGCCATGTCGATCCGAGGTTGAGCGGCCAGATATTTCAATACATTTCTCCCCCTATTAATTATTGAGTCGTGCCGTTTTTATACCCTTGCAGAGGGTATTATGATTTCAGTCAGAAGTTTGCAACGCAGTGAAGGAGACGTCTCCGACCCCATAAAGTATATATATTCTTGATCAGCATCACAAGACGAGTCGATCTAGCCATGTCCGTCTGTCCGTCTGTCCGTCCGTCTGTCCGTCTGTCCGTCTGTCTGTCTGTCCGTCTGTCCGTCTGTCCGTCTGTCCGTCTGTCTGTTTCTACGCAAACTAGTCTCTCAGTTTTTGAGCTATCGGGACGAAACTTTCGCAAAAGTCTTCTTTCTATTGCAGGTAGTATATATGTCGGGCCGACCGGATCGGACAACTATATCTTATAGCTCCCATAGGAAGGATCGGAAGAAAAAGCTTTAAAAAATTCTAGCTTCGGTGTTTTTGAAATATTACCTTCTACTTTTGGGGATGTTATTTTTTAAATATTTCTGAATTTCGAATTAATTATTTAAAAAATCGGACTACTATATCATATAGCTGCCATAGGAACGATCGGAAAATTAATGGAAAAGTAATAGGAAACAAATTCTAGCTTCTTTGGTTTTTATTGTATTATCTTCTACTCTAGGATATAACTCTTTTTAAATATTTCCGAATTTCAATTTTAATTTGATCAAAATCGGACGACTATATCATATAGCTGCCATAGGAACGATCGGAAAATTAATGAGAAATATTAGAAAATTGAACATTTTTGCGATTTGTTAATTAATAGGAATGATCTGCAAGGGTATATAAGCTTCGGCTGGCCGAAGCTAGCTTCCTTTCTTGTTTATTGTTGATCTTGGCTGGTCTTCTTTCGTATTTGCGTTTTTGGCCGAGAGAAATGGCCGCGAGCCTTTTGTCATAGCCCCTCGACGGAATTCTCTAGCCAAAGTTTGGCCTGGGGTCAAAATGATGAAAGGTTTATCAAATTGTTTTGAAAACCCACATGAATTGTGTGTCAAGTACTGATTGCCAATATTTATTTAGCTCGAAACACTTGGAATGACACTATTTCTATCATTTTGAGTGGAAATACATTCGCAGTTTTGGTCCCAAAAGCATAATATCTATATCTATATTAATATCTTAAAAAATGTTTTAGTTCATATTTCTAAATAAACCAATTAATGTATTATTTTATTCTTGTTGCATTTTTCGAATGTATTTTTAAAGCAATATAATTTAAGAGTATCTCAAAGGTGTCAGATATTTCTATCGCCATACTACCGCCCGATTAACATATCCAATCAGTTCGCGGCTTTCTAACCGGGTTTATTCAACTTTGAACTATTCTTTCGCATGCCTGGCCCTCTATGTAAATCATTTGCATATTCCCAAAACAATTTAGTACGAACATTCATCTTTGTTTTTTCGTATTTTCGCCTTGAATAATGCAGCTAATAACAATATCACTGACCGACCGGGAATCAAAAACAATCTATTTGTCAACCATAAAAGTGGGAATTCTCTACCTAGAATAATATTTACTGGTTTGAAAGAAAACAATATATTTGTTGGAATTCTCAACCTGAAAAAATATGTACGCGTTTGAATGAATGTTTCTTATCAGGGGAAGAACGTTTTATACGAACAAACAGAGGCCAAAGGCTCCAGCTTGTAAATTAACGGAAATACATATGCTCCAATGCTCAAGTATTCGTCTTATCATTTGAATTACTGATTATTTTTTAGGTTTTATGTAAATCTTCAGGGTAAGTTACAGTTTTACATTTTCTTAAATTTATTTTCCCATTAATTTCATTTGATTGATTCACAATTTCACTTATGACTAGATAAAATACATGCAAATATACATACATCAGTTTTTGGTTTATAAATTGGACTCTAAATGCTTTACAAGCTAAATTAATAAATTCTGCAGAAAATGCAAGGTTAAAACTTGAGGCCTCGATAAGCTAGATTTCATTTAATTTTTAATGCAGAGTTGGAGGAATTTTAGCGAATGCAGCAGGCTAATCTTCATCCTCCTCGGACATATCAAATTCGTCATCATCAAAATCGATTATCTAAAAAAATAAATAATTCGAATTATAAATAGTTTTATTTTTATGCCATAGAGGTGCTACTTACCTCGCTGTTTAGTCGCTTGAACTCTGAGATCCCAGTCAAATCCTCTAAGTACTTGGCTGTTTCGAATGTTCTAAAGAGGAATGCATTTCCCTCTTTCTTATATGCATTTAAAACGGGCTGTAGGAAATAGATAGGTATACAAATTATTTTTAATTTTTAAAGCAGTAATAAGGTAAAAGTTTTAAAAGTTAAGCTAAACTACTTAGGAGGTTTCTATTTAATTAAATATTTTTATAAGATTGACAATTCTTACCGCTGAGCACGCGATGCACTGAGCAAACTTTTGGGTAGCGGGTAAAATATTTTCGTAGTTGCAAAGCATTCCCCGGATGGAATGAGGCAGAATGCCCAGTAGACCTTCTGGCACCTTGCCGGCTGCCTCCTCCGATTTACCACGCCCACTCTGGGCATAGTAGGCGGGTGCCAGTTCCTTTCTCGGATGCTGGAGCAAAGCAACCAGCAGCTCCACCGCATAACTAGCTGCAATGTTGGAAACGCCGGGTCGCGTTACAGTGCATTGCTGGTCCAGAGTGCGGTCTTTTAGGGACTGGAAAAAATATAGTGCAAGTTATTATCAATATAAACATTTTATAAAAAATATAAGTATAACTAGAGAATAATGTTGGAAGGATATTTAAGGTGTTAGTTTATTAAAAAAAGTTTTTTTTTTTTTTTTTTTTAAAACCAAAAAAAAAATTTTTTTATATTTTTTTTTTTTTTTTTTTTATTTTTTTTTTTTTTTTTTTTCTCCTTTTTTTTTTTTTTTTATATGTATCTCATACATTTAAATATTTATTTAGCGCTTTAGTATGAACTAGATCAACTTGTTCAGTGTTAATACAGTGTTAAAGTCGCATCGATCTTAGGATATATGTATATATTTCCTCAGTGTGATCTCTTAAAGCTTCGGTGCGCCGGTGCAGTAGTAAGATCGCAAGCTTTCGAAAGCTTCTCAGTGTCAACAAACACATGCTCCGAGCAAACAGAGATGACGCCTCCGGGCGAGAACAAAACAAATAGTAGGTCTTCTAAACCATACCCAAGGTATAGAAACTTTAACGGTTCCATCGGTTACTTGAGTAACCCGCCGCTCCGCCCATCGCTGATTAGATAAGGTTCCGGCAAGCGGGAGAGCCGGAGAACTCCGGACTCTCCCACACCCCTATAAAGTAGGTTCATTCTGCGTTCGCTCAGTGGGAGGGCGATAGTTAGTTCTATTGGTAATTTCAGGAAGGAATCATGTTAACCGAGTTCGCTGGCAATCTTTCGCATCCGCTGGAGTTTGGCCATGTTCTGGAGGTGGTGGCCAAGACCATCGATGGAGCAGCCAGGTGGGTGGTGTTCCAGCCTCGGATTATTAAACCTTCACGAATCCGTTTCGTGACTAATTCGCTTGTCAAACTGGGCTTCTTATCAGTTCGTGACTAATGTATCGATTATGATCACTTGTCGTTGTTCGCCAGGTTCCACATCAACCTCTGCACGGCCAAGAGCACGGTGGATCCCAACGCTGATATTGGGCTACGCTTCTCGTGCTACTTTCGTAATGATGTGATCGTACGGAATGCCCGTGTAGGCGGCTCCTGGGGCGAGGAGGAAACCCATGTCCTGGATCCCAACACGCTGCCCAATCCCATCGTCAGCGGCGAGTTCTTCCTGGTGTACATCCTGTGCTGCGAGGACAGCTTTGCCATCTCGATAAATAGCCGGGAATACTGCAGGTTCCGGTACCGCATGCCCTTGTCAGCCATCCGTTCACTGGAGATCCGTGACCAGATCCAGGTGATCAAGCAGGTGGATCATCGCACTGTGTTCCCCAATCCCTGGCCCGCCATCCATGCCTCGGACTATTTCAAGGCCTTCAGCAACGACCAGCCAATATTGTTCAGTTCTGGCCATGTGATCGTTCTAACAGCTCGCTGTTTTGAGAACAAAAAGGGTCAGTTTATCATCAAGTTCATGGATTCGGACACCAAGCGCGAGGAGCTCCACTTTAGCGTGCGTTTCGATGAGAAGGCGGTGGTGCGCAACTCCATGAACAAGTCCTTTGAGTAAGCCAGCTTTGCAATGTGGTAATCCAATGCTAATTGAATTTTCTTACAGTTTTGGCAACGAGGAGCGCCATGGCGGCTTTCCCTTCGTATTTAACCAGCAGTTCAAACTGGCGCTTGCCTTTACGGAACGCGAAATTCTGACCGCCGTCGATGGTTACAACTTCTTCAGTTACGCTTGGCGCACACCAAATGCCATGGCGAATCTAGTGGGCTTCAAGGTGACCAGCATAAACGGCCTGGTGGTTCAGATAACTGGTGTGGATCATTTGCAGACGGGAGATCCTACCTGTGCCGGCTTTGAAAAGTATTCGCGCCATGATTACGAGTGCGTTTAGTAACTATTTAACCAAACTAAGTCTGAAAATACAAGTGCTATCTTAATTATTACAAAAATTTTACTCACATTTCCTGGGGCCGTGACATCGTTGCAGAAGTAGCAACCTAGTTGATCGCCATTAATGCACTTAAGTCCCTCGATCTCTTGGCCATTATCACCTGCCTCCTCGCGTGTGGTGCCATGTCGCATTACCAGGTAGCTATCAAAACCCAGTGCAGCATTGATTACAATCTGAAAAAAGCAAATATTAGTTGCATCTCGTGTGGAAGGCACATATTTACCTCCCACCTTTTGGTTAGCCGCTCCCAGCAGCGTGGGAAGCCAGCGGCTTTCACGCGAGTCTGTGAGCAAAAAGATGACATCATGATCCCGCACCTGCTGCTGTATCACCTGCAAATGCTCCTCCGTCTGGGCCACCAGGGATTCTCCGATGGTGTGTCCCGGCATGGGAATCTCCAGCACATAACCCGCCGTTTCGGCACTCGGATTTATCTCCCGCAATCTTTGGGCAGCTGTGGTGGCCTTCATTCGATTGCCCGCCACGGCATCTGCATGGGTGTAGAGATTCTGCCGCACTGGATTCGAGAATCCCACTTTGCCGTTGTCTAGGAGAGTAATGTGCTTGAAGCCCCAGGACTAAAAAAAAGAACCACTATTAAAGTCATCTCTGAGGAATCAAAGTAAATAAACCCACCAGTAGGTTTCTGGCCACAGCGCAGCCTAAAGTTCCAGCTCCAAAAAGCAGACATTTGGTTTGGGAAATGATTTCCAGATTGAGATCGGGCACCAGGCGCCATTTCATTAGTTTAAGGTTGAGGTTTACAGAGTTTTCAGCGAGTCTGAAAGGAAAAACATCATATATATTAATCTGTAATGGACAAGATATCTTAGTTTTAATTGGCAAATGTCATGATAATGGTATCTACAACCAAGGACACGCCCTATACCACTAACATTTCTTATCAGCTATTATCTTACTTGGCTGGATCCATGCTGTCCCTCATGCAGACCATTCTGGGGCCCATTTTGCCATTCTTATTTAGCTCCCATCCCACAAATTTCACCTCCCCGGCTGTGCTTAGATCGCAAGCTTCTGTTTGGATGACCTGCCAAATGCGGCTGTCTTCCATCTGCATTTGTTGATTGTATCGCAAGCCCAGAAACTTGAGTGATTTCCCAACAAGAGAGGGACTGTAAGGGAAGTAGGAAAATGAATGACCAAGCAGTAATTGCTGAAAGTTACTACCCACCATTGCTGTAGCAGGAAGGCAACATAGTTCCGCATCAGCCAGGCGGGATGCTCGTACTCGCTGGGATCGGCAAAGCCAAAATAATAGTGCTCCACATCCTTTTCGTCCAGGCAGCTTAAAGTGCGGGCTTCGAAAACCTTTTGCTCCTCATTGGCATACAAAATGAAGAAGTTCTGTGACTCAGCCGGAAGGGATTTCAACGCCTCCATGTAGTTAAGACTTCGTGGTAAATCCCGCAGCTTTTGGACATCACCCTGCAGCTTTAAGGTGGGCGTCAGGGGGCAGGGAAAGGCGAACCAATAGTAGTAGCTGTGGCACTTCAAGTCGGCGAAGGAGAGGACAAAGAACCGGGTCAACAGACTGGGATCCCTCAAGACCGCTCCACTGCACATATCAGCCAGCAGTTCCTTGCCCTCATCGGCCAGCAGTTGTAATTTGTCCAGGGCCTTGAACTCTTCGATTGTGTTTTTATTATAGATGTTGCCAATGGCGGAGTGGCTGAATTTCGGTGGCTGTGCCGTTCTGAAATGCGGGCGTATGAGTTTTAAAGGTCTTATTAAATTCACCTTTTCAAACTCACCTGTTGTACGCCGTGTAGTCCACTTCCAGGAGACATCCACTTGCGTTTCTGTTTGTGTAGTGTCCAGCAATGGAACGCTTGGAGTCGGACAGGCGATCGTGGTCCAGCTTGAGCTCCGCCAGTTTGTGCCAAAAGGTGGGCGACACGAAGGATTCCCACGGCGCAAATTGCAAAATCATCTCGTTCTCCGCACTCATTTTTTTTCTTCTGCTGGGGGCGTTGTTTACGTTCAAACTTTGGGCTGAAAATAATAAACAAAGCTCTCGATGGCGATAGACCGAACAACAAGACCACTTATCGATAACTACAGTGGAGATTCAAGAAGTTGGAATACGAATTATTTAACAGTTTAATTAAAAAAAATACATAAAAATATTTAAATGTAAATTTTTAATATCAGAATTTTTTAACTTTAAATAAAAAAAACTTTAAATTTTATTTTACTTCGGACATTTATAATTTTTTTTCTAAATTAATTTCTTGTTATCATTTTTTTGTTTTGAAGTTTAAATTTAAATCTTTGCTCTCATTTTTTCATTTTTTTTTTAATAATGCTAGATGTTGTTGCTGCATTGGAGGTTCCACTGTAGTCATTTTGATTACGAGGATGTTCGCCTCTCCAGCGAACGGTCATACTAGCCCACTCCCGCTGACGAAGATTGGCTAATCCAAACCAAAACAGCAAATCGAAGCTAGGCAACATGGATCTGCAGCAGTTGGAGGAGCAGGCGCGCCAGGCGGCGCTCAAGGACATACAGAACATGCTGCAGCGGCCGGGACAGCTGGAGAAGGTGGAGCAGTATCGCCACCGCATCGCCCGCAAGAAGGCCTCTGTGGAGGCGCTCCTCAAGACCGGGATGCAGGGCCAACTGGACGGGGTGAGGGTGGGCCTCAAGCAGCTGGAAACCTGCATGCAGGACGTCCGCGAGGTGAGGCGCCGGATGAACGAGGTGGAGCGCCTGCTGAGGGGCGTTCCCGAGGTCTATGACGCACTGGAGGTCGTGCGGGAGGAGAACACCAAGCACTCGCAGTATGCCACCGCCATGGAGAACCTGAAGCACATCTTCAACGTGGACGCCAGCGTCCAGAAGACAATGGCTCTGATCGAGGACGACAAGCTGCTCAATGCCCACCAGTGTCTGGCGGATCTGGAGAACTCGCGGGATGATCTGCTCTACGAGCTGCACAAACAGCCCAAGCAGCACGCCTCCGACAAGATCACACTGAAGCGGCACTTCGAGAAGGTAGACACCGTGTCCCAGGAGCTGGAGAAGAAGCTGCGTCTGATCCTCAGCCGCACGCTCAACACGCTGCGCAAGAAGCCCACTATTATAGTCACTGCCCTGCGCATCATTGAGCGGGAGGAGAAGAACGACCAGTTCGCAGTGCAACAGCAGAAGGTCACCGGCTTCCTGCCGCCCGGCAGACCGAAGGCTTGGCGACGCATGATCATGGACGTGCTGCAGCAGTCGGTCGTGACGCGCATAGAGGGCTCCAAGCTGGAGGAGCGGGCGGATAACAAGATGTGGCTGGTGCGCGACCTGGAGATCCTGCGCCAAATCATCCTGGAGGATCTGCGCGTGGTTAAATCCCTATGTGTGCCCTGCTTCCCGCCGCACTACGATATATTCGGGGAGTACGTCAAGTTCTATCACGAGGGACTATCCAGCTATGTAAGTAAGCACAAGAAACCTACAAAAATATATCTTAAATGGAAGTTTTTATTATTTTCAGCTAAATAACATTGTAAGCTCTGGTCTGGAGGGCAATGAGTATGTATCAATGATGGCCTGGGTCACGCACACGTATCCAGGCGTGGAGCTGATGTCTCATCCCGATCTCAATGTGGATGTTCATCGACTGATTGGAACTCTGCTGCGGCCGGAACATCTCAAGGCGCTGGAGGATGAGTACCTGCAGAATATGCAGCGCAATTTCCAGGAATGGATGACCAAGGCAGCCGAGACGGAGAAGCAGGAGTGGTTCACCGAGACGGTGCCCGATCAGGATGACGAGTACTACCACACGTCGGCGCCGGTCATCATTTTCCAGATGATCGACCAGCATCTGCAGGTGACCAACACGATTCACCAGGAGCTGACGTTCAAGGCGCTGGTGATGAGCATCCAGCAGGTTGAGATCTTTGGCCAGACCTACCTGAAGAACGTGATCGAGCTGAAGGAGCACCATTTCCGAAATCGCGACCAGATCAAGTACTTTACCCACTACATAATCACCATTGTGAACAACAGTCAGCAGATGGTGGAGCTGGCGCAGCAGATGAAGCAGCTCTACTGGCCCAAGTCGCGCACCGAGCACTACGAGGATTTCGAGCGCCTGCTGGGCACTTTCCAGCGGATTCGGGCCCACGCCGCTAGCTACCTGCTGGAGGAGGCCTTCCTGGACATGGAGTGCCACTTTAACGACCTCTTCACCGCCAAATGGCTGGCCAGCAACATCGCTGTGGACACCATCTGCGTGACGCTGGACGATTACTTCCAGGACTACAACCACTTGCGACCCAATAACTTCGAGATGGTCATCAACGAGGCCCAGAAGCTGCTGGCCAAGCGCTACATTCGGGCTCTTCTCTCCAAGCGGCTGTCGAAGCCAAAGGTCGAGTGCGATGCCATCACGCGGAAAATCAAAACGGAAGCCAAGCGGTTTAAGCTCTTCTTCGAGAAGATCGCCCCAAAGATTTCCCTGAGCGACTCTCCACTGGATCTTATATCCACGCTATCGGCGCTACTCAGTTCGGATATTGAGCTCCTTGTTCTGGATCTGCACACTTTGCTGGGCAGCTATCCCTCGCTGAATGAAGACCACCTGGTGCGACTCTTCTACATCCGCAACGATGTTAAGGCGGCGGAGGTGCGCGAAAAGGTGCAGGACGCGATGAAGTCGAAGAAGGCAATGGTCAGCATCGCCAAGCAGGACTGCATCTTCAAGGAGATCGTATTCAGCGACAAACTGTGGTAGACTTAGTAGAACATTTTCTTACCCATTCCGCATGACCCTATATGTTCAGTATCGTATTTACTCTTAAGCTGAGATTGTAATATTCAAATTGTGCTTTATCAACGAATAAATTATTGTATAAATAACTAGAGATTTTGATTTGTACTGACGAATAGACTCAATCATTTACAACAAAAGTAAAAACTCTGTATTAAAAGTAAATGGTTCTTGAAAGGATATTATCTATCGTTTCAGGATAATTTTAAGTAAACTATTTCAAGTCAATACAAACTTTATATTATTCGAAAAAGAGACCTGCATGAATGGATTCGATGAATTATTTTGAATTTTTTGTTTTATATGAATGAATTTTGAGTTTAATAGAATTGAATAATTTTGAATTTTGAGTTTCACAAATTCCGAAATAATTTAAACGACAATTTCTTTAGAAAAAGAAAGGGCCATAATTTTGGTTTTAAATCTGCCTAAATTTTATTTACTATGCAGTTACCATTGATTTGTTAAAAATGTATCACTTTTTTTTCTCAAAAGAAGACACAAAAACAATCTGGCAAATTCAAAAAATTCATAAAAATGATTCGTTCATTCATTTCACATAGAATTAAATTAAACAAATCCAAAATTTCATGGCATACTATGATAAAACAAAAATTGAATGATTCACGCAGGGCTCTAATTCGAAAGTGATGTTTTTGAAATTTATCCGTTAAATAGCTAGAGCGCCAGCACTTCCGGTGAAAGAGGCCAGTGTTGTAACGTTCTGGATCACGGTTTTCAAGCACTGGCCGGGCTGGCGATAACATATGGCAGGAGTATATATATTCGCGACGGACCCTCTCCACGTGTCAGTTGCCCACGATCCGCGTTCCCAGACAAGATGAGCTACCGAGTCCAGCCGAGCGGCTTCGCCACCAAGTCCATCCACTCGGGCCAGAGTCCCGAGCAGTGGAAGAGTGCCTCGGTGATTCCGCAGATATCGCTGAGCACCACCTTCAAGCAGGATGCTCCGGGCGAGCACAGGGGCTACGAGTACTCGCGCAGCGGAAATCCCACCAGGAACGTGCTGGAGACCTGCTTCGCTGCCCTGGACAATGCCAAGTACGGCCTGACCTTCTCGTCGGGACTGGGAGCCACCACCGCTGTGCTCACCATGCTGAGCAGCGGCGATCACATCATCATGGGCGATGATGTCTATGGGGGAACCAACCGCCTGATCCGTCAGGTGGCCACCCGCCTGGGAATCACCGCCACCTTTGTGGATCCCACGAATTTGGAGCTCATCAAGGCTTCCATCAAGCCGGAGACCAAGCTGGTGTGGATCGAGTCGCCCACGAATCCTTTGATCAAGGTGGCCGACATCGAGGCCATTGCCCAGCTCGTCCACGGAGTCCGCGCGGATCTGATCCTGGCCGTGGACAACACCTTCCTGACCTCCTACTTCCAGCGACCCCTGGAACTGGGCGCCGATCTGGTCTGTTACTCATTGACAAAATATATGAATGGCCACACTGATGTAGTTATGGGCGGCGTTACCATGAACTCCGAGAAGCTCTACAACAGCTTGAAGTTCCTACAGAACGCGGTGGGCATTGTTCCCTCGCCCTTCGATTGCTACCAGGTGAACAGGAGTCTGAAGACCCTGTCGCTGCGCATGGAGCAGCACCAGAAGAACTCGCTGAAGATCGCCAAGTACCTGGAGGGCCACCAGTTCGTGGAGAAGGTCCTGCATCCCTCGCTGCCCTCGCATCCGCAGCACCAGATCGCTCTGAAGCAGACCTACGGCTACAGCGGCGTCTTCTCCTTCTACATCAAGGGTGAGCTGAAGCACTCGTCCGCCTTCCTGAAGGCCCTCAAGCTCTTCACTTTGGCCGAGAGTCTGGGTGGCTACGAGAGTCTGGCGGAGCTGCCATCCGTGATGACCCATGCCTCGGTTCCGGCGGAGGACAGGAAGACTCTGGGCATCACCGACGGCCTTGTCCGCCTGTCTGTTGGTCTGGAGGATGCCGAGGATCTGATCAAGGATCTGGAGCAGGCCCTCGAGGTCGCCTCAAAGGCCTAATGTATTTTCTCAGGATCATGGAATTTGTATATTAACCCGCCCAATAAAAGTGTATTGTCTCAATTTATGTGATTTCTAATCGGGTTTTTACGGGGGTTTGGAAAAGTACATGTCCATAAGTTCTAGACATACTAAAAATAAATCTTATAAACATTTTACAACAGTAATTCTTGGTAACTGATATACTTTCTGTTTTACTACTGATATCTTGGTAAACAATTGTTTTTATAACTTTTCTGAAACAGCTGCAAATTGAAATTCTTTTAATAGATAGATTAATAGATTTTAAATGCTTCCTGACCCCCCATAGCTACAGCCTTGAATAAACCGAAAAGATCCATTGTCATGTCGATTACTATACACAAACAATGAATCAGCAGATTTAAATTCGCCTGATCATTCCAAGTCGTGATAGAAGAAAATCATATCTCGCGAACGGATGTTCCGATTTTTCTGAACAACAAAGTTCGATCACCTGTAAGATTACAAATATTTTTAGTAAAAAATATTTAAATATTATAGAGGAAAAGCCAGGAATATAGGAATAGAAACATTTTATTAAACCTTTTTTCTCAAAATGAGGGGTTCTTATCAGCGTTGCTTATCAGAAACATTGCTTCCAAATGGTCTTTTAGCTTGGTGACTTTTTGGCAAGTTCATAAATATGGTGCGATTTCACAAATAATATTAGCATCATACTTTTGACCAATGTTATACTCTTTAAAGTGCATAAATCAAGTGAAAATAAGCCTGAACAAATGATGAGAAAATTGTGTTTATTTTAACAATTCCCGGTACATGTCTGATAGAATGTAGGTGATTAAAAGTAAGCTTTAACATTATATGTACGATGTCCAAAACCATACCATTTGAAAGATACATACTACTGTGAAGTGTGCATAGTATTAAATGTACAACAAGAGCCAGAATCGTTATAATAAGCAACTGTGGCTTTCCAACATTCATAATTTTGCCATCTATATATATGTATATCCTTAAAAAATGCGTTTCAATTGCTTAAAGTAACCAGTAGTTCAATGTGCAATGCTTGTCCTTAGTACTTGTAACGATAAATAGCGACGCCAGCTACTCCAATCAGTATGGAACCCATCAGATAGCCCAGCAGCTTAAGCTGAAAACGAAGAAGATTGAAGGTTAATCAGCAGTTGGATTATCTCTGCAGCCAACTCACCTTGGAGTTATCTACAAGGGGCTGCTTTTGCCTGGTGGCAGTCTTCTGTTCCATTTTCTTGGCCTGGCCCAGCATCTTCTGGTACATCTCCTTTTCGTTGTGCTCCTCGCGGCGAGCCTTGATGAAGAGTCTGGCCAAGTCGGACTGAACGGCACGATTGTCTGGCTCGAGAGTGGCCACCTTTTGCAGCAGCTTGATGGCGCCCTGGGTGTCGGCCTTGCCCTCTAGTATCTGCAATGGAATTTAGAGAGTTAATAATCTGATATAGAGGGTTTTTTCCACCAACTTACCCTGCCTTTGCGGTACAAGGCCTTGGAGTTATTTGGCTGGCACCGCAGAACGTGCTCCACGGACTGCAGGGCTGCGTCAAAGGCGGCTATTTTGATTTGAGTCATGGCCAAGTTGTTATAGACTATCAATCGATCCTCTAGCAGGGCCTGCGTGTCGCTGTTGGACAGCTCCAGATCCTCCTTGTCGAACTCGGATTCCGGATCCCCGTCCCGGTTGTCCAGAAAGTCAAGAGCGCGTCTGTACAGGTGAATGGCGGTGGTGAACTCCGAGCGCTTGTAGAAGAAGTTGGCACGTTCTTTCTTGCGGGTACTGAAAATATGTACGAAGATCTTATAAAGTGGTTCTTAGGAGAACTAATTTACATACCCGTATTTGCGCAGTGTTTCAAAGCTCTTGAGGTCCGCAAAGTCTTCGTATTTGATATCCAAAAGCTCTATTTCGTAGGTGAGCTGCAGGAAATGAAGTATTTGAGAAACTGATCTTAGGGATCCTGAATCCCTAACTTACATGCGAATCGGGCGGAACGAGGTAATCGGATTCGCCATCCTTTTTAAGTCCCAGGGATCCATAGCCAAAGCGAGGATCCACGCTGACCTGGGCCACCTCGCCGACCTGCAGCATGGGCACCACCATGTCCAAGCCCTGGACGACCTCGAAGTCGCCCACGTGGCACTGGAAGTTCTTCTCCTCCTCCACCACCTGGCCGTTGTCCAGTTTGCCGGTCAGGTTGAGGGTGACCAGTTCCCCGCGCAGGGGTCGCCTGCCTCCGTCCTCCGGCGCCTTCTTGATTGTGCGCTTTATCAGCTGCTTGTTGCCCAGTATATCACATTCGTCCTCGGGATCCTCCTCCGCCGCCGCCTTCTTCTCCTCGCCAGGAGCCGCAGCTCCATCTCCGGCGGCGGCGGCCTCCTCCGCGGCCACCTTGCGTATGTCCTTGGTGTCCTCGGCGTTGGTCAGGTCCTCGAAGGAGCTGCTGCTAGACTTCTCCGTATCCATAATTACCTAAGGTCGGGCGAGACGAAACGAAAGTGTGTAAATCATTGGAATCCGGAACAAAGGGCAAAGGCAAACGCCAAGTCAACTGAAGGGAGAACTCTGTGGGGCACCCGTAAGCCCAACGCACGGCCGTACCTGACTGGGCGCTCGTATTTAAGTAACAAAAAAGGTGCGATTTGATTTCGAAAGAAACATACGACGAGAAAGTTACTAGAAACGAAAAAAGAATTTACGGCCTTCTGCGGAGGTGGAGAAAGTATCGATGTTTTTAAAATGTTGAGCAACATCGATGTTTCAAGGCGACTATCGATGATTCGGTTACATCACTAATGTAAAAGAAACGTTGCGGGGGATTACCAAAAATGCATTTAAAATTGACTGTAATAGCATATTTAAAGCAATTCTATAGATTAAGAAGCTACGGAAAGGATCGTCTGCCTAAAGGCGCCAACGATTTGGTCTAAATATTGATTGGGAATTAGAGGGCAAAATCCTGAAATAAATAAAACAATCTGATTGAACGCAGTTGAATGCATTGAGCAGTGGAAACCTAAGGTATTTGCAATCTTTTTTAAAAATACCAAATATTAAAAATACTGCCCCACCCACCACTAGGACCTATCGATGCCGGCAGTGTTTGCTATCGGCAAAGTGCTCATCTCCAACTCGCGTCGGCTGCGAATTGTTTTTTCTGCATTTTAGGAAAATAAAAGCAATAAAATATAAAGAAAAAGCCCGATCCAAAGAGCGAATAAAGCCACAACCACTGCCAGGATGGTGAAACTAACGCCAGAGCTGATAAACCAGTCGATGCAATACATAAACCCGTGCCGGGAGCGCGAGCTGGATTTGCGCGGCTACAAGATTCCACAGATCGAGAACCTGGGCGCCACCTTGGATCAGTTCGACACCATTGATCTGTCGGACAACGACCTGCGAAAGCTGGACAACATGCCGCACCTGCCGCGCCTCAAGTGCCTGCTGCTGAACAACAACCGCATTCTGCGCATCAGCGAGGGCCTGGAGGAGGCGGTGCCCAATCTGGGCTCCATCATCCTCACCGGCAACAACCTGCAGGAGCTGAGCGACCTCGAGCCGCTGGCCGGGTTCACCAAGCTGGACACGATCTGCCTGCTGATCAACCCGGTGTCCACGAAGCCCAACTACCGCGAGTACATGGCCTACAAGTTCCCGCAGCTGCGGCTGCTCGACTTCCGGAAGATCAAGCAGAAGGACCGCCTGGCGGCGCAGGAGTTCTTCCGCACCAAGCAGGGCAAGGACATGCTCAAGGAGGTCAGCCGGAAGTCCAAGATGAGCGCCGCCGCCGCCTTGGCCGCCGAGGCGGGGAATGGCAAGGGCCGGGGATCGGAGGGCGGAGGACGACTGGCCAATCCGGAGGATATGCAGCGCATACGGGAGGCAATCAAGCGGGCCAGCTCGCTGGCGGAGGTGGAGCGGCTGTCGCAGATCCTGCAGAGCGGCCAGCTGCCGGATAAGTTTCAGCACGAGCAGGAGGCGGCCCAGCAGAACGGGGCGGGGCAGAACGGCTCCGGGGCCGTGGCCATGGATTACTAGGATCCGTCGTCAGCTACCTTATAACCGTAGACCAATATTTTGTAATAATAAAACGCCGCCACAAGTTGATTCATCGCATTCTGCATTTTGGACATTCACAAATATATATATATCTTCTCAACTACGGCCGCCGGCCGGAGGATCTTTCACGGAAAGATCGGGGGTCAGCTGGCCACCGTGGAAATGCATTTACATGAACATAATTGGCTAAAAGTTTAACAATCTACGAGTGAGTTACGAAGGGGATAAAAAAATCGGAGGAGCAGCTGGCTGGGTGATTGGAATCGGGAACTGGTGCTCCTGGTCTGATATGGCTGGTGGTGGCTATTAGGAGACCTTTGCCGCCATTATGGTGTCGTAGTGCAGACCGGTGTAGAAGATGATCCACGTGACCAGGAATCCGGCGAACGAGGTCATGAATCCCTCCTTTATCAGCTCCCAAACGCCGCCGTAGGCATCCTCGTCCACGTTCTGGAAGTTGATGGCGTACAGGTAGACGATCCCGCAGCTGATGCCGGCGAATCTGGCGGGGATCACACAAAAGATTAATGAAATGGAGATCTGCGGGCTATTTATAGGTTATAGCTACTCACAGTACGAGGCCAAGGAAGCCTTTCAGGGGGACTATGCCCCAGATGACGCCCAGGAAGATGCCGAACACCTGGCGCGACCAGTAGATCACATCGAGGAACTCCTCCTGCGGGGAAATTAAGGATTTAAGGGATTAGCATGAGGGACTTTTGCCACCGGGAACTTTGCTCACCTTGTCCTCCCACTCGGATTTTGTGATGGCGCGCGCGCAAATTTCCCGCAGCGTTGAGGATTTGGCCGCATGGCCGTTGCGCTCAATTGTGCTTGTTTTCGTGGCCATTATTTGTTTCAGCTTTCGACCCAATTTAACACTTTAAATTATTTTGTTAATTAATTTTTCACTATCAAATGACTAACGCGTTTGTCGAGCTGAAAATCCCTAGTGCCTTTGATGACGATAAGAAAATACCACCAATGTAACAGGGAAATACCAAAAATAATAAGAGTTGGTAGGGCGACAACCCTGCCATCAGCTGTTTTGGTTATGTGAATTACTATTTCCCTTTGCCAATAGATAATTTTTGATAAATAATGCTACAAATAACAAAGATCTGCTTGGCCACCTCCGCCGCAGTTACAGGTGAGTGCCTTGCCTTATTCCAAACCCCTTACAATTCATCAAATGTCTGTATTAATGCAGCTCAGCGGGGAATTGCCCTAACAGCCAGCCGCTCCATCGATCAAAAGTGGCGTGCAGGCAGGGGATTGCCGGAAAACCCGAATGCCTTCGGACCACTCACCAATTTGCCTGACTTTACGTACCTAGATGGCAGACCCACGCCCCTGGGAGTAAGTATAGTAAATAAACCTTTTAATATCCCCCTAATAATCCCCGTTTTGCAGGCCAACCAGAAGAGGAGACTGCTGAAGCAGCAGGAGATCGCCTCGAGGATCGTGGAGCTCAGTGGCGAGCTGGAGTTCGCGAAGCAGCGACATGAGCGCCTCAAGGAGGCCGCCGAGTCCGAGAAGCAGCGCCTCATCCAAAACAAACTGAAGCCCAAGGGCCACCTGCTGCTCAAGCAGAAGAAGTAGCCGCCTAATCTTAACCTTTATATTTGTTATCATAAGTCGCTTAGTGAATGGAGACGAAATTATACGATGGTCTTGTGATGTGGACACATGTTTGCCCAAAACACGTTTCAAAAACGTTCCCCAAACAGCAGCAAGCGTGGTTCATTAGACGTACCGCTAATGAGGAATTAATTGCAACTGGCCGATGGGCGACACACCTGCCGCATCTTAATTGAGTGTTAAAACGCCAGTGACGCACTTGCCGTAGTGGCGTGTCCTGGCATTTAGGCGAGATGAAAGCATTGCCCGCTTTTCCGAGGAGCTTCTCAGGCGGGAGTGGGCTCCCATTCACACATTACCTGCTAATAGGAGGCTTACGCTCGCGCATTCGAGTGTCTTCTCAAACTATTTCTGTAAACAAGGAAGTCGGCTGTCGGTTGTCCAAGGCCAGTTACACAGGCTCTCCTCTTCCGGCCTGCTCAACGTGGTCCAGATTCCGGAGCAGCAACCTGGAGAGATTAACAGATCGATCGTGCCAGCTGAGCCAACCGACCATGACAAATGTGATCCCTGCTGTTTGAATTTATCAGTCAATATGTACCCTCGTTTGCCAGCCAAATATTTGCACACCTTGCCAGCGGAGCTCCCTTGTTTTTCCGAGTGTTTGGTTTTTCGGTTAGGATATCAAGAATTTGGCACGCCCGGTCTTCGATTTGTTTAATCGTTTGCGTATAAACCAAACACTGGTATTATAAAACTCACCGAAACGTGCTCCATTTAGACCTGTTTTCGCAGAGCTCGTTCAACCGATTTATTGGTTTTAATTTGGCCATTAGCCCTGCTAGTTATAGCTCCCAAAACCTATATTAGGGATGAAAAACATCCGACTGGGCCGAGCTTCACACTTCCCGACAGAAAACATCAACAAAACTGAAGATCCATTGATCCCCTAGGTGGCAGACATAAAAATTTCCATAACTCTTTGTCCAAAAATGGTAAAAGTGGCAATTAAATAAGCGGATAATGTGCCACTGTAAATATTCAAATATTGCAGGGTGCAAATTTAGCTATTTACATTCGCACATTCGGCTAACAAAGAAATCAAGTCTGAGGAAATTTTCTAAGCAGATGATAGTGACTTGGAAACACGGCTATTCAAGTGCAGAATGTTTGTCGCACTTCTTGCAGAGGCATAAATTAGCCAAGGGGTATGAAATTTGGCACCGTTTTTCAGTCGAGGGTGTGACAAAAAAGGAAAAACGTGCCTCCGCCGGAGCTCTCAATCAAAGTGAAGCCATCAGTCGCTGCGCTTGCTTTGAATGCAGCCAATCGTGCGTATACGTAATGCGATCTGATTCCAACTGGATTGTTTATGTTTCCTTTATCTCCGGCAAATCTCGCACCTTTCTGTTGTTGTTGACGACGATGCTTTGGGTTTTGGGTGTGCAAAAAAATATTTACCCCCATGAAAAAAGGTGGTGTTGTGGAAAACAACCCAGCCACCCGACTGGGATTTATATTTATATAATTGTATATAAATTCATATAATTAGCGGGTTTATATTTACGCCCGAAACTTTTCGAAACACTCGGCGATAATTAAGTGCGAATTGGTCTGGGTCCAAGCATATGTCTTTTCCTCAATTTCATCTGCTTAACGATGGTTTACAAAAGTCTAGCCGGAAATCTCTGATTCATCGCATCATCTTTGAGTGCAGTCATGCCCCTTTTTGGGGGCAGGCCGTGTCGAGTTTGTTTGTTAATTAAAATTATACTGCTCCCGAAAGCCGCTCATGTTTTTCTAGAAAATCGCGGTATTTAACACTTCCTGAGTCAGCCGGCCACATTTTCACGACAATTTGATTAGGCGTCGCATGAACCATTGCGGTTGGATATTTATAAAGTCTGAGCCGTATTTTTAGACGCCGTCCTATTTGCGTGTCTATGCTGATTTGTGATAAAAACGCCGAATTTCATTACAACGACATTCGAGGTCTGGATTTAGACTTAGCGTGTGACCACACGAAAATTACCAACCGGCGACCACAGCGCCTGGTACACATATTACTCATACGCCGTGTGCGCCGCAAACCTTTCGAACCGAAAGCAAAATACCCAAAAGTCCCTAATTACTTTCGTCCGTTCACTGGCCTACGTCAAAGTGCCGAAAATTAAAATTAATAATATTATAATTAATCTAAAATAAAAATCAAAACGAAATAGTCACCAGACAATTCTCTGGGGGAATTCTGGGGAACCGTATCTTTCCGCATTGTAAAAACTTTTCCGAACCAAACTGGTAGCTCCGCGCTAACCGAAAACACTGCACCCGGCAATTAGAGCCTTTTGTCTTTGTCCCATAAGATTCCATGGAGATGAGCCCATGTCTCCAAGTCACAGCATCCGCGCATGCGCAAAACAAAGCCCAGACGTCAACCGAAGAGAGTTTTTTGGCTACGTCGAAAATCAAAAAATGTCGCTGCGTTTCCTCCGGACTTGCGTCACACAACGGAGCAGCGGCTCGGGCCGAAAGCAAATTTTCACATTTGGGTGCGAATATGGCGAATATGATCGGTGCGTATATAAGGGAAGGGTTCTTCGCAGCAAAGCACACAGAACTCGCCAGACGTTCAGAGCAACCAGTCCAGAAATCAAAGGATAATAACTAACCAACCAGGATTTTACCCTTAATAACAACCAGTTAAAACCGAAAAACACACAATGGATCTTAAGGTAAGCATCGCTATAGAGAGATCTCCGGGAGAATTCAGCTCACCCAGCTTTTCTCCCCTCTCCAGCAATTGTACTCGTGGATCTGCCTGCTGATCAGCATCATCATCTGCAAGGTGTCCGAGGCCAAGCCCACCTACTATGACCTGGATAGCTACGAGGCCTACGACACCGATCGCTACGACACGGACAGTGGCTCCTCTTACGCCCTGACCTACGGGAAACCGCTGACGGATAACCGCCTCAAGAAGCTGAATCCGGGCTACTACTACGTGGACGATGGGTATATTGCCCCGGTGGCTGCCAGTTCTGGCTACACCCGCCGCCGCGAAGATGCCAACTCCGAGAGCGGCGCCCTGCCCCACAACGTCAGGTTCACACCCATTGTGCGCGTCCGGCAGACGAAGACCAAGCGCAAGAAGCTCTTCGTGCCCAACTTCTTCGGCTAGAGAGGAGCGGCTCCTTCCGGCTAAACTGCCGGGATTGAGAGTACAGACTGAGGATGATTAGAGTAGGCTTAGCTGTAGTGTTAGTCGCGTGGCTCCCACACCAAAAAGTACCTTATACCTATATACTGTTACCTATTTTATATACGCGGCCAAAGCGATGACCAAATTATATTTATATACCCAAACCTAAATAAATAAAAACATACCAATATTGATGAAAAAAAATTTAAAATGAATAATTACTTTTGCGGTTGACCACAAGCGATTGGGAATCGTGAAATTTAAATTAATATTTATTTTTAGAAAAAATGCCGAAAAGTCGGGATTGTAATTTACAGTTTAAAGTCAAAAATACATCTTCTGTTTTGAGCCGGATTTATTCGGTTACCAAAAGTTTTTAATTGTGTTCGAGCATCATAAAACCATTTAACAATTTAGACAAGTTTAACCAAATTAATCGCTCGGTTGTAAACGCTTTCGCTGATAACACCCACACTTTTAATGAAAAGTGCCGTACAGAATTTTATGAACCGTAAAGTGTCTATTTAATTTGGCGGTTCGGTGCTAATTGACCACTTAGGCGATTTAATGAAATCAGAATAGCATTTATTATTATTTATACTTGATACAGTAAACTTTTCTGGATGACGTGATCATTTAAAATAAATATTGTGTACAGCAAAAACATATTTGAGTGTCAGCGCCCTTGGGATTCCGCATGTGTTATTGTTTATTAAGAAATATATAAGTACAGCCCAATTTCATTACACAAAGAATTCGAGTAAACCTTTTTAACATTTGGCTTTCTCCGTGAACATTTAAAAACCAATTCAAGCTAAATATAAAATATTTGTTAATAAATACATAGAAATCTGTCAATTAAAGTAAAATGAAATTTGTTTTTGCTTTAATAAATTAATTAAGACCTATAATTTGTGTATAAAATTGAATGATTTTAAATTAATCTCTTTTATTCCCAAGTGACCGTTAAATATTTTGAAAACGATGATAACGGTCTAGCGATAACGTTCATCGATGACTGCATTCTCTGTCATCGACCTATCGATATAACAGCTGTCGTCATTTCTGAAAGAAGAGGAGAGATTCGCGAATTTACAAAGAAACCAGAAGAAAATCAGCGTCGCCCAAGATGAGCTTCATGCAACCGAGTCCCGTTAAGTACGCGTGCTCCTGCGGCATCCTGAATCCGATCAACAAGCTCTTCTTCTGCCGCCACTGCCCCAAGCTGCGCTGTGGTTTCTGTGTGACGCACGAGATAGAGTCCCATTTCTGCTCCAATTGTCTGGAGAACATCCCGTCCACGGAGGTATATGTCCTATAAAAAGGGTCTCTTTACTATCCTCTTACAAATTAAATACTCTTCCATGTTGCCTGTAAAACCATTTACTTATTTCCATTTATTTCAGGCTCGCCACAAGAAGAACTGCTGCGCAAACTGCTTCGACTGTCCCTGCTGTCAGCACACCCTCTCCGCCAGAGCCTCCACCGTTCCAGTGGTGCGCAAGTCGGAGGAGACGAAGGACCCAAAGGATGGCGATGCCAAGGGCGACGCCACGCCCCCTGTTCCGGCCGCAAGCAGCAAGCCCTCGGCGGTGCCCACCACCAAGAAGATGTACTATCTGTCGTGCCTGTCCTGCCGCTGGACAACGCGCGACGTGGGCATTCCCGACCAGGGCGTGGCCACGGGCACCTGGCCGGACAACGAGTGCCTGTACCAGGCGCGCTTCAACGCCCTGGTCGAGTACTTCCAGGCGGTGGTGCTGCAGGAGAAGCAGGAGAAGCTGGAGTTCATGCGCCGCAAGGCGCCCAAGCAGCACAAGTTCCCCAGCCTGACGGATCGCACGGGTCTGACCGTATCACTGATTCGCCGCCAGATCGGCTGGAACGACAAGGTGCCGAAGGCCAAGGCCGTGATCACGCCGGCGGAAGCCACGGCCGAGGTGGAGGAACTGCCGGCGAGCATCTTCACGGAGCCGCTGAATCTGCGCAATGTGACGACCATCACCCAGCGACACAGCCAGCCAGCGGACCAGCCCACTGCTGTGGGCAGCCTGTATCCGCAGCGGCGGTCGCTGTGGATCAAGCGCTCGCTGCGCTGCCGCCAGTGCGAGCACAATCTGATTAAGCCGGAGTACCATCCCACGTCGATCAAGTACCGCATCCAGCTCTTCGCCAGCTACCATGTGCCCGAGGTTGTGATGGTGCGTTGCGAGCAGCCTCTGTTGCCCGGCCAGAGCAACGCCATCCTGCTGAAGCTCACCAATCCGACCATGTACGACATGACCATTCGACTGTTGACTGCTGCTCCTGCCGAGGATCCGCAACTGTCGACGGAGACCACTCGTTTGGCGAAGGAGGAACCGATTTCCTCGACGCCTCTTCTCAAGTCCGTTGGCATCACCTTGTCGCGTCAAAACTCAACCCGGGAGGTTAAACGCGACGTGTTGGATGTGTCTAATGCCGAGATAGTTCCGCTGGAGAGCGAGTTTGTGCTCAGCCAGCGCGATGATTCCAAGGAGTTCGATGAGTACGTGCAGCTGCCCACCGAGGAGCCCAAGTTCATTGTTTGGCGCAAGGGCAACAAGGTGCTCTTACGACTGCAGTTTACGCCTGCAGAGGAGCTGCCCGGGAGCACGGACGTAGTGCTGGGATTCTTTATGCAGTACACGTACGTCAATACTGTGACCAATGCGTCCGAGAAAAAGGAGCCCACCACCCATGCGCTCCACTCCAGGGTGTTCATCACCGCAGGCGCCATCGAGCAGAAGTGAATACTTAATTACCCAACTGGCATACTAATCGAACTTATACATAAAACACGCTTTATGAAAGCTAGGAAAATATATGTATTTATTTATTAATCCACTCGTGAAAAGCAGCTAGTATTAAAGATGAATAAACCGCTTGTTCTAACCCTAAGTAGTGCTTAGTTTTGGGTTACCAAACCGGTCCACTTCTCGCTCTCGGCCCACAGGAACTTTCCAACCTTGTCGTCCAAGGCGGCAGGAGCCACAGCCTTTGGTTTGCAGTCGCTGAAGTACAAGCCACTGACATCCTTCAGTTCCGGATCCAGAGCAGCATAAATAGAGGTCTGTGCTCCACTCTTTGGTGTCTTCATAAGGGGCCAAATCATTGGCTTCAAAAAGAACCTGAAGTTTGTAATATTACTAATAAAGTTCCTTCTCCATTTAGCTTCAACTTACTTCACGAAATTGGTCTGGAAAAAGGCCCAGTTCCTGGCCAGCTCAGTGTCCACAACGCCAGGATGTAGGGAGTTCACTGTAACGCCACTACCCTCCAGCCGCTTGGCCAATTCCCGGGTGAACAGGACGTTGGCTAATTTGCTCTGGCTGTAGGCTAGGCCCTCGTCATAGGACTTCTCGCTGTTCAGGTCAGCAACGTTAATAGCACCACGGGTATGGGCCAGACTGGAAACGACAACAATGCGACTGGGAGCCGATTTCTGAAAAATTTTCAAGACTGTTATCTCAAGTGCTCGACTGATATTTTTTACCCTCACCTTTAGCAGGTCGAGCAACAAGTTAGTCAGCAAAAAGTGACCGACGTGGTTGACACCCAACTGCAATTCGAAGCCATCCTTGGTTAAAGTCTTCGGGCAGCGCATCACTCCGGCATTGTTGATCAGGACATCGAGCTTATTCTGTTCCTTCTTGAAACTATTAAGGATATTGTACAAATTATAAAGGCTAAGAGGCTTCTCTGGCTAGCTTACCCAGCTACAAATTCACGGATAGAATCCAATGAACTCAGATCCAGCTCCCGAGAGAATATATTCTGATTGTTCGTCTCCTTTATGATGTCGTTGCGGGCCTTATTACATCGGTTCATATCCCTGCAGGCCATATAGACCGTTCCACCGCGTCTCGCGATCTCCAGAGCCGTCTCCTTGCCAATTCCCGTGTTGGCTCCCGTAACAATAAACACTTTTCCCGTCTCATCGGTATCCTTTGTGAATTTCCCTCCCTGCATGTATTCCCTGTAATTATCAAAAATGATTTATAGAAAAGTTATTATCTAAAAATCGGAAGTCATAATGGCAAGTCATGCATCGTCACTTTATATTTCATAATTTCCAGAACGTATGCAGGAAACTTACTTCAAGAGGTAAATGCCCACGCCGATAATAGCTGGCCACAGTATTATGGGGCTTAGTAAACAATCGATGAAAATGCACATTTTGAATATATTTTATTTTGTTTACTGTTTGGGGTGTTGTCAGTTCTGAGTTCTCTCGGAGAATGCGAGAGGGTACGAAAAGCACAGCTATTTATATAGAACACCGGCTACTGCGACACATATTTATAATCGCTAATACATGGTGAAATCGGAAAAATGAAAAGGCAAAGAGAACAAAGCTCTCTTCACTTAAGAGAAAAGTTTGTTTTGGGGTAGGGTGGGAATTGGTCCGATCAATTTACTAAAGTATATTTCAGTCTGTTCAATAGATTGTATTTTGCATAAAAAACACATTTACCGAAAAAAAAATCGCGATCGCAAATGAGAAACTTTTCAGATCCTTCTAGACGATAAAAAGGCGATAATTCTATTGCCTCTCGTCCAGAAGTCAGGAAGTCAGGAAGGAAGATAGAAACACGACAGAACACATTTTACAAAAACCAAAAAGGGTCGCGATCGTGGGGAAGTAACTTCTAAGGGATTTCTAGGCGATAGATATACGATAGAACACATTTAACTCAAGAAAGGAGAAACTTCTGAGACACTTCTAGACGATAAAAAGGCAATAGAACAAATTTTACAAAAACAAATCCAAAAAAAACTGTCTTCCAATTCACTCCTGGAAGTTTACATGCCGCAATTATTAAATAATAAAATAAATAGAAATATATAATTCTCAAGGCTTATTTTTTAAGTTACCTAATCGGGAAAGGCTTTTTTAGGTATCTGCTATAAGCGTCTTCTGAGTAACTCCTGGAAATGACTTTACAATAATTTTTCTGTAGACAGAACGATAGAGATTGTATTCCAGCGATAAAGAGGCGAAAGAGAAGCTAAATCCTAAATTTTTAAACCTTGAATAAAACATCGTTTGAGGTATGTCTACTACTTATCCTATTAATCTGACCAAAGGTTCTGATTCCTTTTTGTATTTAAATAAATCTCATTTTTAAAAATCGTAACAGTTTTTATTTTCATAAAAGTAAAGTAATAAATAACGAAATGGCGGTTAATGGAATATAGATTTTATCTAGTCCAATTTATTTACGCCTGTCCACTTCTCGCTCTCTGCCCACAGGAACTTTCCAGTCTTATCGTCCTTGGCAGCTGCTGACACATCCTTGGCCTTACAGTCGCTGAAGTACAGTCCGGACACCTCCTTCAGTTCAGGGTCCAAAGCGGCGTAGAGCGTCGTCTGAGCTCCATTCACAGGAGTCTTGAAGAGAATCAATTGCAGGGGCCTCACCAGGAACCTAGGATGCAGCAATTAATAGCTAATTCAAATAACATCTACCTTAAAACTTACGACACAATGCTGGGCCAGTTCCTCGACAGCTCCGTGTCCACAGCTCCGGGATGCAGGGAATTAGTTGTGACTCCAGTTCCCTCCAGACGCTTGGCCAATTCCCGGGTAAACAGAATGTTGGCCAGTTTACTCTGGCTGTAGGCACCTATCCTACTGTAGGATTTTTCACTGTTCAAGTCATCAACATTGATGGATCCTTGAGTGTGCGCCAGACTGGAAACGTTTACGATGCGACTGGGTGCAGTTTTCTACAAAGTGCATTGAGTTAATAAGGTGTTAGGAAAGTCATAGATGCCAAAAATACCTTCAGAACATCTAGCAGCAAGTGGGTGAGCAGGAAGTGTCCCATGTGGTTGACTCCCAGCTGCATTTCGAAGCCATCCTTGGTCAGGGTCCTGGGACAGTGCATAACTCCAGCGTTGTTGATCAGGACATGAAGCTTATCCTGCTCCTTTTTGAAACTGTTTTACAAGGAATCGAGTTATTTCTTTGCATTTTTATTGATCTGTCATGCTTTGCTTACCCAGCAGCGAATTTACGAATGGATTCCAGCGAACTCAAGTCCAATTCGCGGGCGAAAATGTTGTTGTTACCCGACTCCCTGATGATATCCTGGCGGGCCTTTTCGCATCGGTTCATATCCCTGCAGGCCATGTACACAGTTCCTCCGCGCTTGGCAATCTCCAGGACTGTCTCCTTGCCGATTCCCGTGTTGGAACCGGTGACAATAAACACCTTGCCGGTTTCATCGGTCTGCTTGGTAAACTGACCGCCCTGCATGTATTTCCTGAAATTCAAAATTGGGAAATTATGGTTAAATAAATTATTAATAAAGTAGTATTTAACTTGTAAAAATGTTTTGACCCTGTTTTTGCAACCGAAACGCAACAATATACAGAATAATTTTATCTAGGTATTACTCATAACGAATAGAACTATTTCATGCTGAAATTACCTCAGAAAGTAAGCAGCTCCGCCAATTAAAGCCGGCCAAAAAAGGAGGGGGCACAACAAACAGTCAGTCAAACAAGCCATTTTTGTTAGTCCGCAGTTACTTCCAGTTGTGGGATCTCTCAGCGAATGCGAACTAAGCCGGTTCCAGCTGTCTTTTAAATACCATGAGCGCTATCTGTGAGAAAGTATACGACAGCCATAAATTGCTTACTCACGATGAGTGTTTTTCGAACTTGCGAGAAGAGAACGCCACAGGTTGGCGTGGAAGAGCAAATCGATACGCAATGTTTGGAAAATATTACGTATACGTCTGTATGCCGGGCCCGAAAATACTTACATATGTCAATCAGAACGAACTTAGCCGAAGTCTTGTTATGGCAAACAGCTTGTTAAACAATTGGTTAAATCTATTTATAGCCCTAATCAGTTATCACTGAACTGCGAGAAAAACGATGAGCAACTGACATTAAATGCTTGGGCTTAAATTAAATGGTAATAAACCTATGAACATGAAATTTCAATGGAAAGAAATGAAATACATTGAGACTTTGAATATGGGTACAAAAATGTTGTTCTGTAGTTTATCATTAAATTAAAAATTCTTAAAATGAGTTGTATGACTAGCAATTGTAGCCCAACGTGGTAATGAATCCAATTTTGAACTCTCTATACCAGTAAATTTTTAGCTCTCAGCCTACAGCTATGGCATTCTTGACGGCAGCTGACGGATTCTTAACTTAACTTACCGTTTTACCATTTACATTATTCCAATCCCTGGCCAATTGTGTAAACGGAACCAGGATCAATAGCATTGACCGTGACTCCCTACTCTTTTTATATAAAGACTCTTTAATTGACTAATACTCTTCATGTTCAGCCAGAAGGCAAACTCAGACTGATTTAATTGTTAAAGTTGCAAGAGAACAACCTCTGACGACAAGAGACAGTATAAGAGAATTTTATTTCAAAGGGTTTTCAAGAGCGGGATCGATATTTCTCATAACGCAGATAAGAGCGTTGAAGCGAATATAAAGCTTTTTTAAATGTCCAGTCATCTAATAACTATATAAAGAATCAAAACATTGAAGCTATAAACAAATCAAACACCTCTTGAAGAGGTATAAAACTAGTGACGATCGCACATTCCACATACAAAAGTTCTTATATCAACTTCAGTGACGAAAAATGTTTAAACATTCGAATAAATTACTACATTTTCTAAAATTAACTCATTTATTTTACTTTTTTATCGTAGCTGATTTTCAATTCTACGACTATATATACATAAGTAGTAGTCTCCTCGCACACACTTCGGTGCGGTTCGTCACTAAGTGACTGCCGTCCAAAGTGATCAATTAAACTTCAGTCACTGGGTTTTACGGATCGTTTTTTGATTTAACAAACGAACTATCCTTACAGATTTCGAAAAGTAAAGAATGCCGTTTTGTTTTGTCTATTAATAATTTAGATTAAAAAGATAATCTTTGGTTATGTCCAAATAATATAATGCAAACTGTACAAGCACTTGATTTACTACTAGCATAACTTAATCTCCCTCGCACTCCCTTTAGCTTATTAACGAGTATCTGATAGTCGAGTCCTTCTCTCTTGCTTGATTTTATTTCTGTTATAAACCCAAGGGTATTAATACTTCGCCTTGCTTTCTTATTTGTATTTTGGTTCTAGCCCTCCCCTTATCATCCAGAACTTTTTGTTTATATAAATTTTATTAACACCTAAATTAGCTTCGATTAATATTGTAACCGTAGGTAAATGGGATTTTTGTACATAAACAAATTTTAGAGTTCCTAGTTGTATTTGTTTAAATTAATAAATTAGTACATGGCGGTTGATAAATATTGAGCTTCTCTAATCCAATTTAGATGTATTCACTCCTGTCCATTTCTCGCTTTCTGCCCACAGGAACTTTCCAGCTTTATCGTCCTTGGCAGCTGCTGACACGTCCTTGGCCTTGCAGTCGCTGAAGTACAGTCCAGAGACATTCTTCAGCTCAGGATCCAAGGCAGCGTAGAGGGAGGTCTGAGCTCCACTCCTAGGAGTCTTGAAGAGAGTCCATTGCAAAGGCTTCACGAGGAACCTAAGGTACAGAAATTAATAGCTAATTCAAATAATGGCTAACTTATAACTTACGCAATCAAGCTGTTCTCCATGAACGACCAATACCTCATCAGCTCAGTGTCCACAGCTCCGGGATGCAGAGAATTAACCGTGACTCCAGTTCCCTCCAGACGCTTGGCCAATTCCCGGGTAAACAGAATGTTGGCCACTTTACTCTGGGTATAGGCAGCTATCTTACCGTATGATTTTTCACTGTTCAAGTCATCAACATTGATGGAACCGTGAGTGTGCGCACCACTCGAAACGACTACGATGCGACTGGGTGCAGTTTTCTACAATGTGCATTGAGTTATTAATGTCTTATGAATGGCATAGGAGTCCAGAAATATCAAAAATACCTTCAAAACATCCAGCAGCAGGTGGGTGAGCAGGAAGTGTCCCATGTGATTGACTCCCAGCTGCATTTCAAAGCCATCCTTGGTCAAGGTCCTAGGGCAGTGCATAACTCCAGCATTGTTGATCAGCACATGAAGCTTATCCTGTTCTTTCTTGAAGCTTTTTTACAAGGGAATTGGTTACTTAAACGTTTATTTATGACTCAGTCAATTTTTGCTTACCCAGCTGCGAATTTACGAATGGATTCCAGCGAACTCAGGTCCAATTCGCGGGCGAAAATGTTTTTGTTACCCGACTCCCTAATAATATCCTGGCGGGCCTTTTCGCATCGGTTCATATCCCTGCAGGCCATGTACACAGTTCCTCCGCGCTTGGCAATCTCCAGGACTGTCTCCTTGCCGATTCCCGTGTTTGAACCGGTGACAATAAACACCTTGCCGGTTTCATCGGTCTGCTTCGTAAACTGACCGCCCTGCATGTATTTCCTGAAATTACAGAATGGGAAATTATGTTTATGATGACAGAAACTTATTAGCGTACACAGAGAAAATAGCAACTTAGCTGCAAGTCTAATTTCACTTTTAAAATGTTTTGACCCTGTAATATTTTACGAAACAATTTTATCTGTGTATTACTCATACGAACCAGAACTATTGCGTGTCGAAATTACCTCAGAAAATACGCAGCTCCGCCAATTAAAGCCGGCCAAAAAAGGAGGGGGCACAAACAACAGTCAGTCAAACAACCCATTTTGTTTATTCCGAAGTTACTTCCAGTTGTGGGATCTCTCAGCGAATGTGAGCTACGACGACTCAGTTGTCGCTTAAATACCACGCGCGTTATCTGTAAGAAAATACACGAGAGTCAAAAAGTGCTTACTCACGGTGAGTATTTTTCGAATTTTGCGGGAAGAGAACGATATATTTAAGAGCGTGGACGAGCAAGTTGATACACAATGTTTTTTAAATATTACGTATACGTCTGTATTCCAGACCCGAATATATTTACATGTTTCGGCCAGAGCAAACTAAAACATTGGTTCAAACTCAAATCTATTTATAGCCCTAATCAGTTATCATCGACCTTCGGGGAATACGATGAGCAACTGGCATAAAATACTAGTAAATATATAATATGGTATTTAGCGTGTGAGCATGAAATTTTTTGTTCCTTATCATTAAATTTTAAGCTTGTTATCTAACAAAACCAAAAGTCAACTCAAAATAGTTTTTAAGATTATTATTTAATAGTACAAATAAAGTTTTGATTAAATATTATAATCTTGATATGAATCAAAGACTTATATCAATTGTAGCCCTACGTGGTATTTAATCCAGTTTGGAACTATCTAGACTAGTCCATTTTTCGCTTTCAACCCACAGTAACTGGGCAGTTTTGTCATTCTTGGCGGCAGATGCCGGTTCCTCTTCCTGGCAATTGTAGAAATACCTCCCGGTAACCCTTTCCAAATCGCGGTCCAAAGACAGAAATATTGAGGTCTGGGCTCCACTTTTGGGGGTCTTTAGAATGGGCCACATCAGAGGTTTTAAAACATATCTAAACGTGGTTTGATAATAAGTAAAACCATATATAAAAGTCCATGTTAACTCACCGTATAAAATAACCATTTAGAGTATTCCAATCCCTGGCCAGTTCAGTGTTAACCGATCCAGGATTAAGGGCATTGACCGTGACTCCTGTTCCTTCCAATCGTTTAGCCAGCTCCCTGGTGAACAGAACATTGGCCAATTTGCTCTGACTATAGGCATCAATTTCATTGTAGGACTTCTCACTATTTAAATCGTCAAAGTTGATGGTGCCCTTCGTATGGGCCACGCTAGAAAGGACCACAATTCGACTCGGAGCACTTTTCTAGGACATATTTCAGGATCAGTCATCTATCATATACAAATAATCGTATTTCCAGTACCTTTAAAACATCCAGCAGCAGGTTAGTTAGCAGAAAGTGACCCATGTGGTTAACGCCCAGTTGCGATTCAAAGCCGTCCTTGGTTAATCTTCGAGGACATCTCATAATGCCAGCATTATTGACTAGCACGTCCAACTTATTCTGCTCTCGTTTGAAGCTATTTTACAAAATATTCGTAAATAATATTGTTAAATTCAGATTAATTTCAATATTACACACCCAGCAACGAATTTGCGAACGGAATCCAGGGAGTTCAAATCCAACTCACGAGAGAAGACATTCTGATTGTTCGTATCTTTCACGATTTCTAGACGGGCCTCTTCACATCTGCCTAAATCTCTGCATGCCATATAGACCGTTCCACCCCGTTTCGCAAATTCCCGGACCGTTTCCTTCCCGATTCCGGAATTTGCACCGGTAACAATAAATACCTTACCCGTTTCATCGGTGTGCTTCTTGAACTGAATTCCTTGCTTGTGTTGCCTGAAATCAAAGAGCACATGACTCAATTAAAAAAATGTATCTCAATGGCTAAAAAACTTACCTTATGTACAAAACAATCGCTCCAAATAATATAGGAAATACTATAGCCGGGCTCAACAAACAACCGATGATAAAACACATTTTTCAATTTTCAATATTTTGCTAACGGCAATTTGTGTGTGTTGCCGGAGGCTCTTCTTTGTCATATGAAATCACAACAGCTACTCTTTTTATATAAATACTCTTCGGTGGGTATATATTCTCTGTGTTTCGCCAAAAGGTAAACTCACGATGATTTAATTATTTAAGTTGCAAGAGAGCAACCACAGGGGGAATTGGCCAAAAAGAGCACGAGTCATGACGACAGGAGACATATGTATAATAGGAGATAATATTTTTTCATTTGTTGTTTAAGAGTGGGATCGATATTTCGTATAATGCAGATAAGAGCATTGACGTTGTAAAGCTTTTTTAATGTTAACTCTCTTTATTTTAATGTATTAAAATTTCGTACCTAATTAAAACTTGTACCTAGAAAGTTAGTACCATACGTAAATATATTTTATTTTATATACATTCCTAGCAGTCTTTATAAAAATCAAAATGAAAAAAGCTATGATCAATCTAAAACCAATCCAGAAATTAATCGCTTTGATAGGTTCAACCCATGCACGGATCCACGGGAGGTGATATGGGTGATATATCACCCCCCACTCGGGTGAAAAATTAAAGAAATTTTGGTATTCAAAAAGTATGCAACAAAAAAATTGTTTTGATATCACCCCCCACAAAAAAATCCTGGATCCGCCACTGGTTCAACCATTTAGTAAACTTACTTTCCGAGCTTCGATCCCAAGAATGGTGTATTTCGAAAGAGTTCCGTGCTCAGTACGCCGGGATGTAGGGCCTTTATATGGTGGCTCCCCTGAGGTCTTTTATTGTTGTATCTCTGTTATTATTGCAAGGGTATTCATATGTCGCCTCGCTTTCTTTTATTTTTTTTTGTTCATTGTAGTCATTTTGTAGTCAGTGTCATTTATACCTAAATTTGCTTCGATTAGTATTATATCCGTGGATATTCTAATACCTAAAGTCTTGTCAAATAAAAGTAACAAATTTTATAACTTAGTAGGGTTTTATTTTCAATGTTAAAGTAATAAATAAATGGCGTTTGATGGAATATGGAGTTTCACTAATCCAATTAGGGAGTATTTACGCCTGTCCACTTCTCGCTTTCTTCCCAAAGGAAAATTCCGGTCTTTTCGTCCTTGGCAGCTGCTGACACATCCTTTGCCTTGCAGTCGCTGAAGTACAGTCCAGAGACCTCCTTCAGTTCAGGATCCAAGGCAGCGTAAAGGGAGGTCTGAGCTCCACTCTTAGGAGTCTTGAAGAGAGTCCATTGCAAGGGCTTCGCCAAGAACCTGAGATACAGAAATTAGCATCTAATTCGAATAATCGCTAACTTATAAATTATAACTTACGCCACAAACCAATTATCCAAGAACTTCCAAGTCCTCATCAGCTCCGTGTCTACCGCGCCGGGATGCAGAGCATTAACCGTGACTCCAGTTCCCTCCAGGCGCTTCGCCAATTCCCGGGTAAACAGAATGTTGGCCAGTTTACTCTGGGTATAGGCAGCGATCTTACCGTACGATTTTTCACTGTTCAAGTCATCAACATTGATAGAACCCAGGCTGTGCGCACTACTGGAAACGACTACGATGCGACTGGGTTCAGTTTTCTACAATGCGCATTGAGTTAATAATGTCTTATGAAAGTCATAGGAGTCTAGAAATATGAAAAACACCTTCAAAACATCCAGCAGCAAGTGGGTGAGCAGGAAGTGTCCCATGTGATTGACTCCCAGCTGCATTTCAAAGCCATCCTTGGTCAGAGTCTTGGGGCAGTGCATTACTCCAGCATTGTTTATCAGGACATGGAGCTTATCCTGCTCTTCAGTGAAGCTGTTCAACAAGAGAATGAGATATTAATACGCATATTTATTGATCAGTCATTGATATTGCTTACCCAACTGCAAAGTTACGGATGGATTCCAAGGAACTCAAGTCCAATTCGCGGGCGAAAATGTTGTTGTTACCCGACTCCCTGATGATATCCTGGCGGGCCTTTTCGCATCGGTGCATATCCCTGCAGGCCATGTACACAGTTCCTCCGCGCTTGGCAATCTCCAGGACTGTTTCCTTGCCGATTCCCGTGTTGGAACCGGTGACAATAAACACCTTGCCGGTTTCATCGGTCTTCTTGGTGAACTGACCTCCCTGCATGTATTTTCTGAAATTACAGAATGTTTAGTTTAAATGTCAGATATAAGTGCAGCTTATAAGCGGACACTGAGAAAATAATATTTGTTAAAATTATTTTTTTGGTGCCAAAATAGGATATTTAAAATATTTTGACTCTGTTTATTTTATTGCTCATACGAACAATAACTATTCACCTCAGCAAAAAAGCAGCTCCGATAATAAAAAGCGGCCAAAATATGAGGTTGAACAAGAGACAAGCAGTGGAATGATCCATTATGTTTATTCCGCAGGTACTTCCAGTTGTGGGATCTCTCAGCGAATGAGAGCTAGGCCGGACTCCAGCTGTCCTTTAAATACCACCAGTGCTATCAGATAGAAAATACACGACAGCCATAAAGTGCTTAGTCACGATGAGTATAATTCGGACTTCGGGGTGAAAACCATGTAGATGGAAAAGCAAGTCTGTATTCGTCTGTATTTCGACCCAAGCATAAGCCATTGGTTTAAACGGAAATATATTTATAGATCTAATCAGGTACCATCGACCCTCGCGGAAAACTATGAGCACCTGGCATACACAGTATACTCAGTTTGTAAATAAATAATACGGTAATAAAACGTTTCGGCATGAAACATATTTTAATGCTTCTTAATCGATAAAGACAATTTGAAGTAGTTTTCCAGATAATGGGCACCTTGAATATAGGTAGTACAATTTTGTTTTAATTTTTAATTAAAGGTTCAAATCTTGATATGAATCATGAGACTAATGACTAGCAATTGTAGCCCTTTGTGGTAATTAATCCACTTTAGAACTATCTAGACCAGTCCATTTTTCGCTCTCAGCCCACAGTAACTGGGCAGTTTTGTTATTCTAGGCGACAGATGCCAGTTCCTCCTCCTGGCAATTGTGGTAATACCTCCCGGTAACACTTTCCAAATCGCGATCCAAAGACAGACCGTAACTCCTCATATTCTCCCCGGTGAGCAGGACATTGGCCAACTTGCTCTTACTATAGGCATCAATTTCACACTTCACTTTTCAAATCGCCAAAGTTTATTTTGCCCCTCAAATGGACTACACTGGGGAGGACCACAATTCAATAAACCCGCGCTTAAAAAACGACCGGTGATAACACACATTTTTCAATTTTCAATATTCTGCCTATGGCAATTTTGTGTGTGTTGCCGGAGGCTCTTCTTTTTCATATGAAGCAACATCATCTACTCTTTTTATATAAATACTCTTCGATGGGTATATATTCTCTGGGTTTAGCCAGAAGGTAAACTCACGACGATTTAATTGTTAAAGAGAGTAACCACAGGGGGACTTTGGCCAAAGAGAACACGAGTCATGACGATAAGAAACTATATAATAGGAGAGAATAAATTTTCAATGGTTTTTCAAGAGCGGGATCAAAACTTTTCATAACGTAGATAAGAGCGTTGACTATTTAAAGGTTTTTTAGTGCTAACTCTCTTTATTTTAATGTATTAAAAATTCCGTATCTAATTAAAAATTGTTAATTGTTAGAAAACAAAACTAGGTTACTAAGACAATTAGGAAAGATTTCCGGTCAAATGTGGTGAAACGATTTGAGAACTTTAAACTCATGGGTCAGTTAGAGTTAAAAGCATCATAAAGTTGGTCAAATGCTAATACTCGTCCACTTCTCACTTTCTGCCCACAGAAACTCGGCATCATCATCATATTGGGCGGCAGACCCAACATGCTTTTGCTTGCAATCACTGAAATATTTTCCTGATACGTTTTTCAAACTAGGATCTAAAGCTGCATATAGAGACGTCTGGGCTCCATTCCTTGCAGTCTTTATAAAAATCCAAATGAAAGGAGCTATGATCAATCTGAAACCAAACCATAAATTAATCGCTTTGTAGGGTTCAACCATTTAGTAAACATACTTTCCGAGCTTCGATCCCAGAAATGGTGTATTTCTAAAGAGTTCCGTGTTCACTACACCAGGATGTAGGGCATTCACCGTGACTCCAGTTCCCCCCAGACGTTTTGACAACTCCCTCGTGAAAAGGATGTTGGCCAATTTGCTCTGACAATAGGCCATCTTTCGGTCGTATGACTTTTCGCTGTTCAGATCATCTCGCTTAATTCTTCCGAGCCGGTGAGCTATGCTGGATAAGACCACAATTCGACTGGGAGCGGAACTCTTAAGGACATCAAGGAGCAGCAGAGTAAGGAGGAAGTGGCCCATGTGATTAACTCCTATTTGCATCTCGAAACCATCCTTCGTTAGCATCTTGGGGCAGTCCATAATGCCGGCGTTGTTGATAAGAATGTGCAGTTTATTTTGCTCCCGTTTAAAGCTTTAGGTAATATGTAAAGATTTTGTTTTAAATCATAAAAGGGGAATACTTACCCCGCTGCAAAGTTCCTTATGGACTTCATGGAGCACAAATCCAGTTCCCGAGCGAAAACATTTTCATTGTTAGTCGCCTCGATGATCTCCTGACGTGCCTGCTCGCATTTTCTCATATCCCGACAGGCCATATAAACGGTGGCTCCCCTGCGAGCCAATTCCAGCACGGTCTCCTTACCAATTCCCTGATTGCAGCCGGTCACAATCACCACTCGGCCAGTCTCATCCGTTTTCTTGGTGAACTGACCGCCCTGCATATAATGCCTAAGGAAGAGCAAAGGTTATGGAAGCACTGAAACACTAATGAACCCACCTGAGAAGATATATTCCAATGGCTGAAAGTGCTGACCCATATACCAGGGGGCTAAACAGGTAATCGGTGGTTGCATCCATCTTTCCACTCCGAATGCTGCCAGCTTCAAGTGTCGACTGGCGAGATGAGACCCACTTGCACTTTTCTTTATACAAGTAATATCAAAAACTTGGAATGCCCATACTTTATACATTAACGATCTTGAACCGGTAAAAATATCATTGGTAGTTTAAGGTCGGTGGGTTAACGATTCGTAAGTCTCGCGGGGGAACTGACGCTTCCGTCTGGCCAAAGTTTGACATATAAAGTATTCAAAATTATTATATCCGTTGATCCCAAGTTGTTTTTGTTTAAATCGTTAGTTTAAATGAACAGTCAGCTAATAAAGAACCTGTAATATTTTTCTTTTTATTTTTTTTTATAACTGACAGGGTATTTATATTTCGCCTTGCTTTCGTTCATATATTTTTGGCTTGAGCTCTCTCCTTGCAATTCGGAACTTTTCGTTGATGTCAGTGTCATTAGCACCTGAATTCGCTTCGATTAATATTATGTCCGTGGGTAAATGGGCTCTTTGCTCACTTATACCCGGAACCATGTCGAATAAAGACGATTTTCTCCGACATCGTACAAAGCCTACCCAAATTTTACATCGATTGTTTTTTAAAGGGAGTGCATGGACCATTTACGCAATCGCCTGCGGATTCCACTTCTTTAAGCTGCACTACAATGAGCGAACCAATCAGGTGGAGGAGGCCCAATACCATCGGGTGTGGTCAAAGATCGTAGTTGGTATCAAGGTCTTGCTAGTGGCTAGCCAATATCTGCAGTACTTCGTACTCGGACTGGTCATCTATATCCACCTAAAACTGGTGCACACAAGCAGTGCCCAGAACTTCGTGATGAGTCTCCTCATGCTGGGAATAGTCCTTAGTGCTATGCGGCGTCTGGTGATCTTTCTGCACCTGAAGAGGGATCGTAGGTTTCTAGAGCATTCGGTGAATGAGATCCTGCAAATTACCAGCGTGATCGAGCGAAAGATCGGAATGGTATACAAATGCGATGGCGTATTGCTGTTGGTATATTTGCTTAAACTGTGGATACTCTACATCCTACTGGATTCCCTATGGAACAAGCCGTACTTCCTGGTAATTAACTTTCTGTACTGGTTGCTGTTGGAGTACTGCTTTGCTGGATATTTTATCTACCAGCTGATTCTGCTAAGCTGGTATCACACCATTAACCTGTTCCTGCGCCGCTTCACAGAGGACAACAAGATTCGGCAGGACATTGAGGTCTACTACCATCGGCGATTGTTCCTGCTCTTTGAGCTGCATCTCCGGATTAACAATCTGCACAAGTACGTCAAGGAGAATCTGTCCTGGCTGTCGACTTCTATTTACCTGATGATCTTCACCTGCATCTTTAACATGGAACTGCTCATCGAGTGCGCTCTGTTCGCCGAGGACGAGTTAGAGAACAAGATCTACATCATTGCTGATGGCTGTTTGGGACCTGTGTTCATTCCGATCCTATATGTTCTGATCCTGGGTATGTGTACCGACCGAATCCGCGATGCTGAGTTACAGCTTCAGCAGCTCATCGTAATTATTCAGGGATTGTATGTGAGGAAAGTAAGACCTCGCCTTCTAACCGTAATGGTTCTCGACAACGAGGTGAGATCTTTCCTGAAATTTCTTATTTCTCTACACAATGGGTTTTTTTCCAGCATACTTCTTTGATGCTTCACCAGAAATTGGAACCCCTCCAGAATATGATCATTTTGGATATCACCTGCGACCGGGAGTTCGCCATGGACTTTATTCTCACGGTGATCTTAACAGCATTGTCTTTAGTACAGTATACTATATCATGTGATAGAAATATTAGCGAGTGTTTGACTCATAAGTAGATTTCAAAGCAATAGATTCTATGATTTTAAAAAAACTTAATTACTCTTTTTAACCGTATCTAAAATGTACCTGCATTAATTTTATTTATAAATAACAATGGCTTTTTAAATAGCGTCTAGCTACATAACAATACCCGAATGATCCCATTTATAGAGTAATTTCCGCCCATTTTTCGGACTGGGCCCACAGCCACTTGGCCATCTGATCGTCGAGGGCAGCGGGAGCTACAGATGCCAACTGGCAGTCGCTGAAGTATTGACCCGATACATTTTCGAGCTCGGGATCCAAGGCGGCATATAAGGTGGTCTGGGCCCCATTCCTCGGAGTTTTCATCACGGCCCAGAGGAGCGGCCTCAGGATTGTTCTAAAAGAAAGGGAAACAATTAGCTGGACTTATTTTAACAGGCGATTTGAAGAGGACACACTCTACCACATACTGAGCGAACTTTGTTTGGAAGAAGATCATGTTCCTGGCTATCTCCGTGTCTGCTATGCCGGGATTGAGGGCGTTCACCGTGACTCCCGTGCCCTCCAGCCGCTTTGCCAATTCGCGGGCAAAGAGTATGTTGGCCAGCTTGCTCTGGCAGTAGGCCACTCCCTCGTCGTAGAAGTCGGAGCTGTTGATGTCCTCCACTTGAATCTGACCCCGTTCGTGAGCCTTGCTGGCCACGACCACCACGCGGCTAGGAGCAGACCGTTCCAGCACATCGATCAACAGGTTGGTCAGCAGGAAGTGGCCAATGTGGTTCACTCCCAGGTGCATTTCGAATCCCTCTTTTGTGAGTCTGCGCGGTTCCCAAAAAACACCAGCATTGTTGATCAAAAAGTGCAGCTCCCGTTGTTCTTTCTTGAAGCTTTTGGTGAATAAATGAGTTAGTTTTTAAATAAGATATAGGGTTTACTGTATGACTCACTCTTCCACAAACTTCCGAATGGATTCCAGTGAGGACAGGTCGCACTCCTTGGAGAAAACGTTCGAATTGCCCGTCTCCTTGATGATCTGCCTTCGAGCAATTTCTCCCTTTTCCTTATTCCGGCAGGCCATGTAAACGGTGGCTCCCCTTCGGGCCAACTCCATCACCGTTTCCTTGCCCAGACCCGTATTTCCGCCAGTAACGATGGCCACTTTTCCCGTCTCATCGGTCTGCTTCCTGAACTTTCCCCCCTGCATATACAGCCTGAATCGGGGTAAAATTATGCCAGTTAATCGGTGATAACTACTTTGTCGTCACGGGCATACGTCGTTGATAAGGCTTCTCAGCGTTACATTTCAAATCGGCGCCACTCACTTACCTCACACAGAAGGCGATAATGCCGACAAGTCCGTGGGCCAGAAATACGGGGGCAATTTTGTGTAGAAAATTAATAATGATTTCCATAATAGCTAATCGGTCCGGCCGTGTCCGTGGTCTTCTGCAGAGTGCCAACGCGGGCGTAATTTTGCGAGTTTTTAAGTGATCGCCGCGGCGATTACTGGACGACAACTGATAAAACTGATAGTGCAGGGTGCTATGAGTAGCCCGTAATCAGGGAAACACTTTTAGCATAGATAATTGCGACAAGAAGCCGAAAATCGAGTCACTTTCACGACGGCGCGAATGCCTAATACTGGTGAAATGAACCTAAACTTTTGGACCGAAGGCTCAAGTTAGAAATGTAATGGATATACATATCTATTTTAAACAAATGATGTAGAAATTGACCCCTAACCGGTTTCGCAGTACAAACGTTCGTACACACTCAAATCTTGAGCTTTCAACTGTCTTTGGCCGTCAAACGTTCAATTAAGCCGGGCTAACATAACTAAAATAAGATAAATGGGCGATCGGTTGACTGTAAAAAACTGAAAATTTATGCGAAGGAACAGAGAAGTAACATTGGTTTTCTACAATACGAACTAGTGTATTTTGATCATCGTTGGCGTGGTCCACTTTTCACTGACTGCCCAGAGCCACTTTGCCGTCTGGGTGTCGGTGGCGGCCGGCGCCATTTCCTTGAGCTTGCAGTCGCTGAAGTACTGACCCGTCGTCTTTTCCAGTTCGGGATCCAGGGCCACATACAATGTGGTCTGAGCACCATTTCTGGGGGTCTTAACAAAGGGCCAAAACAAGGGCTTCACAAAAATTCTGGAGGGGAAATATCTTCGTTAATAAGTGGGTTTAGAATATATCGTTTTTAAGGACCAACCCAGCAAAGAAGTTATTGAAGAAGCCCATGTGCCTGATAATTTCCGTGTCCACCACACCTGGATGCAGGGCATTTGCCGTCACTTTTGTGCCCTCCAGTCTTTTGGCTAGCTCCGTTGTAAAGAGAACATTGGCCAGCTTGCTCTGGCTGTAGGCCTTGCCCTCATCATAGGATTTGTCGCTGTTCAGATCGCCTGTATTAATTTCTCCACGAGTGTGCGCCAAACTGGAGACATTCACAATCCGACTGGGTGCAGATTTCTAGGGATATAAATGATTAGAAGGGCCTAAACTTTGGGGTCTATACCTTTAGCATATCCAATAGCAAGTTGGTGAGGAGGAAGTGGCCCATGTGATTCACCCCCAGCTGCAGTTCGATGCCATCTGAGGTGAGCGATCTTGGACAGCGCATGACACCGGCGTTGTTGATGAGTACATGGAGGTGTTCCTGCTCCCTTTTGAAGCTGCAGATATGGATTGTAGGATATATAAGGGGTTCTAGAACTGATATCTCCTTACTTACGCAGCAACAAACTGGCGGATGGACTCCTGGGAAGCCAGGTCACATTGCCGGCAGTAAACATATTTGTTCTTGGTTTCCAGCACGATTTCCTCGCGGGCCTGTAAAATGATATTTATAGATAAGATTTTGAGGATTATTCTCTATAAAGTACCTACCTCCTCACATTTCTTGAGGTTCCTGCAAGCCATATAGACGGTGCCCCCTCGCCTTGCTATCTCCCTGACCGTTTCCTTGCCGATTCCCGTGTTGGCGCCCGTCACGATGACCACTTTGCCGGTTTCATCCGTTTCTTTGGTGAACTGACCGCCTTGCATAAGGTCCCTGTAACACGAATATCAGGTCAAAACTATGGATTCCTGTGTGGAAAGCGGAGCACCCACTTGGTGAAGAAGGCCAATCCCGTCGTGGTGCCCGTGAGGCTCAGCCAGAAGATGGTGCGGCTCTTTAAAAACGCAAACAGTGACATTATTTTACGAAAAAGAAATATACAAATTGGCCAGTAAACGAAAACAGCTGTGTTTACTCTGTTAACGGTTAACAGCGCTCGTTAACAGTGCGCTATCGATATCTCGGTCATCTGTGACGGAGCTTTTCGCCTTGTTGTTGTTTGTGGGCTGCTGCTGCTGCTGAGAACAAACTTTACACGTAAATAAATCTAATTTGCGTTAATTAATTGGCTCGAGCTAAACAAAGGGGTGCGATTTGATCGAAATCCGAGAAGATATCCGATATCCGGGCCAGGCATTCCCCTCAAGGCGACCAGGAGAACACAATGCGACGCAATGCGTAAGTCAGCGCCAACTCGACTGTTGCTTTTCCATTTACAAGTGTGATTTGATCCGAGCTCTCATCTCCAGGCGCCAGCAACAGCACAATCTGGAGGACGTGGACCCCGACGAGGTGGAGGACATCTTCGCGCGCCCCGCCTACGATGACGACGAGTTCGAGGACCTGCTGCCGCTGGCCAGGAGGCCCAATGGCCATGCCCGCCTCGGGCGCTACGAGAACACACTGGAGGTGAAGGTCCAGGAGGGCGACACCCTCCAGGCGCTGGCCCTTCGCTTCCACTCCTCCGTGGCGGACATCAAGCGGCTGAACAAGATCGATCGCGAGAACGAGATCCATGCGCATAGGGTCATTCGCATTCCGGTCACCGTCCACAACGTTCTGCTGGGCAACGGAGGCCTCGAGGCCCTGCCCGCCGTCCACCGGAGCGGAAACAACAGTCCCAGGCACAACCTGGAGCGGGAGCCAGCCCCCGAACGCAATCCCCTCGAGGATGCGCGCCAAATGCTGGACGAGCGACTCCTGGTGGCTGCCGTAAACGCTTCCGGCGCCGTGGATCCCGACCAGCCGTCGACCAGCAGAGCGGCTAGACAGTTCTACGAGGGAGCTCAGGGTGCGCCCAATGACGAGGGTGAGTTCAGAAGCTGGGCAAGATTAGCCTTGAAATTGTCGCGGCTTCTAATGGCACTTGAAATAACAGTAAAATTAGAGGTGGAAATGTTGCGAGTTTGTTTACATATGTTATGTAGTTAAAGCATATTTAAAAACATATTCGCGAATAGTAATAGATTAATTTATCAAAAAAAAACATATTTTTAAGAATATAAACAAAAATCAACACCTTCCTTATAGATATAAGTTGCTATTTGAAAAATATTCCGTTTAAATTTTAACATTCCGAGTTAACAGTGCGCAAATATCGATAGTCCCAGTGTTGACAAGAAGCAAAGTATCGCCGAGTCGATAGTGCCAGCGTTGCTTCTCCCACCACTATCCCAAATTGTTCAGTCATTCTCGCCGTAAAACAAAAGGAAAACATAGTTAAAAATCACTTTTCGCCCCCTAAATCATACTAATTGCAATCGAACAAGATGCCGGACTACCTGGGGGACGACCAGCGCAAGGTGAAGCACGACGAGAAGGAGGACAAGGAGATCAAGTCGCTGGACGAGGGCGACATTGAGCTGCTGAAGACGTATGGCCAGAGCCAGTACCACAAGTCGATCAAGAGCATCGAGGAGGACATCCAGAAGGCGGTGAAGCAGGTGAACGAGCTGACCGGGATCAAGGAGAGCGACACGGGCCTGGCGCCGCCCGCCCTCTGGGACTTGGCCGCCGACAAGCAGATCCTGCAGAACGAGCAGCCCCTCCAGGTGGCCCGCTGCACGAAGATCATCAACGCGGACTCCGATGATCCCAAGTATATCATCAATGTGAAGCAGTTCGCCAAGTTCGTGGTCGATCTGGCCGACTCTGTGGCCCCCACCGACATCGAGGAGGGAATGCGGGTGGGAGTCGACCGCAACAAGTACCAGATCCACATTCCGCTGCCGCCCAAAATTGATCCCACGGTGACCATGATGCAGGTGGAGGACAAGCCGGATGTCACCTACAGCGATGTGGGCGGCTGCAAGGAGCAGATCGAGAAGCTGCGCGAGGTGGTGGAGACGCCGCTGCTGCATCCGGAAAAGTTCGTCAATCTGGGCATTGAGCCGCCCAAGGGAGTGCTCCTCTTCGGACCGCCCGGAACGGGCAAAACGCTGTGTGCCCGAGCCGTGGCCAACCGCACGGACGCCTGCTTCATCCGCGTCATCGGCTCCGAGCTGGTGCAGAAGTACGTGGGCGAGGGAGCGCGTATGGTGCGCGAGCTCTTCGAGATGGCCCGCTCCAAGAAGGCCTGCCTCATCTTCTTCGACGAAATCGACGCCATCGGAGGCGCCCGTTTCGATGATGGCGCCGGCGGCGACAACGAGGTGCAGCGCACCATGTTGGAGCTGATCAACCAGCTGGACGGCTTCGATCCTCGCGGCAACATCAAGGTGCTGATGGCCACCAACAGACCCGACACCCTGGATCCGGCGCTGATGCGTCCCGGACGTCTGGACCGTAAGGTGGAGTTCGGCCTGCCTGATCAGGATGGTCGCTCGCACATCTTCAAAATCCACGCCCGTTCCATGTCCGTGGAGCGTGACATTCGCTTCGATCTGCTGGCGCGCCTCTGTCCCAACTCTACGGGTGCTGAGATCCGATCCGTGTGCACGGAGGCGGGCATGTTCGCCATTCGGGCGCGTCGCAAGGTGGCCACCGAGAAGGATTTCCTCGAGGCTGTCAACAAGGTTATCAAGAGCTACGCCAAGTTCAGCGCCACTCCCCGCTATATGACCTACAATTAAGTTTATTTTTATTGGCCCCATTCTGTATCCTCTGCAGGGAAAACTGTAATACATCCTGCAGCTGGCAAATTCATGAAATAAAACGAAACCTATACCTCCATGAACTGAAAGCAATGAGGTTTATTTTTTATTTGTACAAGCTCGACTTTATACAAAGTGGGGAGGCCGTGACGTCACATTAGGCATAGCCAAATTTGGAAATATCCGGGACTTGGTTAAGGATGCTGAATCTCCAAAAAATTTAAATGCAGTTTTTTTCGGGTATGCCATAAGATTATGGACATCTCATTTTAAACCATTTTAACAACATTTATAACAGAGAAATGGCAAAAGAAAGAATAAAAAAAAACAAATCGAATTTTGGGGCACTTTGGGGTCTTTTTTGTTCTAATTTGTAACTCACACGCGGCTCCTAATTATTTTAGTAATTAAAGTGATTTTTTTAGATTTTTAAGTCAATCCGTTCTGGGTGGAATTTGCTGCTGACCGTTTTTTAGAGGTCGAATTTTATATTATTTTAGATAAATACTTTTCAAAACTCTGTTTAATTACTTAACACTAAATCACTTCTGAACTTTTTCTGCAGCCAATATGGAGCAGCCCTTCGAGGAAAACGCTGCTCTGCTCAACCACATGATGGTGGACAGACATGCCCCACTGGTGCGCCCCATTCCTGGACCTTCCTTGAGTGCCATCGACTGGTCTGGATCGGATTGCGACTTGTCCTGGATCTGCCTGCTGATCTTCATACTCGCCCTGTGTGTCGTCATACCGCTGGTCTACGTCATCTATCTGGCGGAGCATCCGCATCACAATCACAGCGCCCAGTAGTTGTGCACCCGAAGTGATCATCATTCCAAATGTACCGGCACCTCCTCACCTGTAACCGTCTCACTCTCTTCAGATCAGCCTGGCGCATTCAAAATGCATCCACAGGCGATGGAATTTCTTTTTATACCTAAACGTATGACTCTATATTGACTCTTGTCAAATATACTAAGGTCTTTGTGTACTGTTCTTTTCTAAATAACTACGTTTTGGGTGCTTCCAAGATATGCTCCACATCACTCCCGGCAGCCAAAACTAATCTTACGATCCCAAGATCCGATTGTGTTGTGAATATTCGTAATCCCCCCGGCAAATGATGCTTCTCTGTATGTTTTATTGAGTACAATTATGTAACATTTAAACTAGTTCGGTTGAAGGTGTAACATTGTTCAGCTGAAATTGAAAATAGTTTCGCTTACGCCTAAAAAATACATAATACATATCTTAGAGCTAAATAAATAGTATCCATGGATATAAGAATTATGTAATAGTAAATACGAGCTACAATTAACAATGGCGCACATTGGAGTGCCAATTGAAGTTAAGTACGTTGTTGTGTGAATTTTCGGTCTGGGGAAATGGAGGCCATGGCACATGGTTTTTGGCGAAGATTTGGTTTGGATTATGGGCTGTGTGCCTCGTCATTATCGTGAATTTTCCCTCCCGGGAAGATCAACCAATGGCCGCACACTCAAGGAACTCCATCTCGAATATTCACTTGAACTTTAAATTCTCAAAGAAAGCAATATTGCTGCGGAGAAAGCCATGTCGCACGGGCACAGGACTAACCGGCGTGGCGATGGGTGGATTGCCCTCCGAGTGAATGGAAGGATCCCTGAAAAAATAAGTAATTTAGAATGGTTTTGAAAGAGTTTCATTATGAAACTAACGTTTCGAGGGATGATAAATCAGAGGCAATCGTCGACTCATCGGCTACTTCTGCCATGGAGACGGCATGCTCCAGTTTGTGACGCTTGGCAAGTGATGTGGATGTGTCTGGCTTATCCGGAGTCTCTGGCGGGGCTGCAATTCTTACCTTTAAGTGAAGATGAAAAATTAGTAGTATAAATAAGACACACAGAAAAAAAAATGGTAATGGTCAATTTGATATTTTTTAAAGATCAAGTTAATTCATATCATTTTGATATGATTTTTATATTACTTGCTCAAAAAATACTAAATTTGGTATTTTTATGATATGATGAAATATCATGTTGATATGTTTGAATCTTAAATTTATATCGGCTTTTTATTGATATGAAATAAGGTAGAAATAACCCTATTTCATATCGGATTTTTTTCTGTGCAGATTAATTTTTAATTCCTCACCTTGGCCCGCCATCTCCGCTGTGGTTGTGTGTGCTTGCTGGTCAAAAGGAAGGCTTGGGCCAGAGCCTTAACCGATGGCATAGCATGGGCCACTTCATCCTCAATCACGGGCTTCTCCGCCGCCGGGGTAGTTGGCTCAGGCTATAGAAAATAGATGTCGCATAATATATATATGTCATAACAATATATTAGATCATCTAATAGTTAGACTTACCACTTCATCTTCATCGACGGACAGCACCTGACTGGGATCAATGAGGCGACGCTTGGGCTGCAAGAATCTGAAAGCAGGAGGAGTGGATCCCCTCGTGGGTGTACTGACTGGGGAACCTATTGTGGGCGCCGAATCGCCTGGACCGAACTGAAGGACCACAGGTCGCTCCCGCTTCTTGGAGACCGATGAGTCAATGGAGGAGGCCGACGGTGGAGCACTCTGGGCGGACTCCATGGACGATGTGGTCGAGGAGCTGGGCTGCTGTTGCTCCGTTGGAGCAGCCTTGATAACCGTCGTTTCCTGCTTGTTAAAATCGTAGATGCGCACCGTATCGGATTCATCGCTGGTGGTGGTCGTGGTCTGCAGGGAGTACAGCGAGGGATTCGACTGGGAGTCCAGGGACTCGTCCAGGACCTGAACTGGCAGGGCTTTGTACACCAACTCCTGCGGCTGTTTGCCTTCTTTTTGAGCCTTTTGATAGAACATTGTCGGTTTTGGTTTTCGTTTTTGTTGGTTTTTGGTGGGTTTGTGTTGTTTTGTTGGTTAGTGTAGTTGGTTAGGGTTTCGATGGAAAGAAGAAGTGTAGGTGTTTTAGTATTTAATATTAGTGTAGGTGTGGATTATTTTGTTCTAGAGTTTAGCGAATGCGGTGGAATTTAGTGGGTGAAAGCGCTCAGGCAGCGTCATGCAGGCAAGATTAACTTAAGTACAGTCATTCCGGTAGTTACAATCGGTATGATTTCGAAACAAATGCTGTTAGTCAAATCCAAAAGCAACCCAAACATAAATCTAACTATTTCGTTCATTTCTCGGTTCTGTACTCACCAATTCGATGGGGGTTTTTTTTTAAGGATACGTTTACTAAAAACATTTGTTTCAGTGGTTCAGTGTTTGATTTCTTTGTTGGTTTTGTTTATTGTTTTGGCTTTATTTGGAATTAATGCATTTTATATGTAAGTATATCGCTAGGCAGGCATATGGTGTATATATGGTTGTTCGTAAGAAAAGAGCGTTAGCGTTGTGCATACAGATACAGTACAGGAGTTGTAATATTATTTCATAAAATTAACAGCAAGTATAATGATTAAAAACAAACGTTGCATACTCTAGGCATTAGCATTACGTAAGTGGTATTAACTAAAGGTACGATCAGAACACTAGCTCGACACTCTCATTCGTGGTTGTTTTGGCGGTGCTAGAGGTGGTGCAGTGGAAAGCTCATCGGATGGCCATCCAGTGCGGGGAGATTCTGTGCGTGCTTTCTACTCCAAGTTATATATTCTGTATTCTTCACTCCCATTTAATTTTCCGCCCATCTCGTTTCTATGTACAGGGAAATTGGCTTTGCTATACTGACTAGTGTTTGACTAAGCTATGCGTAATTTGGCAAATATCCCTAGGGGCTAAAGATACCCGATCCCGATCCCCAATGTCTTTTTCTGTCTTTCTAGAAAAGCAGACTGTTGTTGCTGTACTTGGCGTCCGCACCGCTGAAGCCGTTCAGGCAGCTGTCCACCCCCGAGTCGCCCTGGTCCTCCGTTTCCGGCCGCACAGCCAGTTTCCCGCCCAGCGGTTCGCTCTCGAACAGCGGATTCATCACGAAGTCCTTCGAGGTGGCGGACACCGCCCGGAAACTGTTTCGCTTGAGGTCCTTGTGCAGCAGCTGCTTCTCGAATTGGGTCAGGACGCCGGCAGAGGGGCCACCTCCTGCCGCCGAGCGTCTCTTGGAAACGGACGAACCAAAGGACATACCGCTACCATTGCTGTGCAGGCTCAAGGAGGACTGGGTGTGCCGCTTGGGCAGCGAACTGTAGCTGCTGCGCCAGGAGCGCTGCGATCTCAGGTCGAAGTCATCGTCGTCACCCAAACCCAACCCTGATTCGCGGTAATGGGAGGCCGAGGTCGAAGGTCGTTCGAGGGGCGGTGACCTTTCGTAGCCCTGCGAGCGGGCGGGGGAGGGGCGGCTGTTAATGAACTTGAGCGAACTGCTACGGCGCACTGGCGTGGATAGGGTCCAATGAGAGAGGTCGGCAGCGGTGCTCTGAGCGCTACTGGAAATGCGGCCATGCGGTGGATGTGGTTCTGGTTCTTGATTTACCTCGTTGATCACGATGTCCTCCACATCCTCGCCAGAAGGGGAGGCGGCAGCCCTTGCACTTCCCGTGCTGTCGGTGGGCGTGGGAGCATTGTTGATGTAGTAGTCGCGGCTATAGCTAAAGATTATGGAGATGAATTACAATAAATATACACCCAGAAAAATGATGGACAACATTTTAGGTCATGCATAGCCTAAAACATTTTAAATGGACTAAAAGTTCCTTTTTAGGTCATGTACTGCCTAAAAATTTAATTTTTTGGTATATTTGCCCTACTATTTAGGTCCCGTATAGCCTAATATTTTAGGTCATCGTGGGCCTTAAAATTAATGCATTTTACCTAAATAAATTTGCACGGAACTCTGATAACGCTCTAGCGACGCTATAATTCCCAACCAGTTATAGCGCGGCTTGCATGGTAACCCACTTCGATCGTTGAATAATACAGCGATTTCACTGCTGAACAGTGAAGCCTCTTCGCTCGTTTTTGTGTGTTGGAATAATGACGACTTCTTGAAGACTAAGCCGACATTGACCTCGAGTTAGCTATAAATTTCTCTGTATTTACTTTATAATATGAAACATTTTTCAGTACAAATTTTTAGGCCAAAGAAAGCCTAAAATTTTGGATAGGCGTTTTCTCATATTTTAAGGCAGCCAATTACCTAAAATCTAGGCCAAAAATTACCCCATTTTAGGCCATTAATGGCCTAACATTTTAGGTCATACAATCCTAAATTTTAGGCCATTCAAGGACTTAGCTCCAGTTTTAGGCCAATTTTACCTAAATTCTAGGCCATTTTTTGACATTTTAGGTCATTTTTTTCTGGGTGTAGTTAGTTAGAGTAGTATAGTTAACCTACCGCTTATAGTCCGTTTTCGGCGATGGCGGATCCGGATTTTCCGTCAGCGCCGAAGCCAAAGCCTTTTGCTCGGCACTCGGACTGATGTTCGGCACATCCATGTACCGCTCCTGGGTGCCGCTGATGCGCTGCTTCAGGGCCTCCGGGGCGTATGGATTATTTGGCATCTCAACGGCATTATACCACTTCTTCACCTCGCGTTCAGCAATGGAACCTAGAAATGGTTGTCGATTGGGTTCGTTAGTTACCGAGTGGGTCGATTTAGATCTAGGGAATCCCAAGCGAACGAAAAGTAAACTTCTGGCATTTCCATCTTGAAATCTCCCAATTAACAAAAGTACTTCTTGTTTGATTCCCATTAAAATTCAGTAACATCTTCTTTATTTCATAATTTCAAGTTACTAAATATCATATGTTATTAAACTCTATTATGTATACAAAGAAGTGTGAATTCTTGAAATCAAACAAAAACTGTGTAAATACAATTAATCGAATATTTCTAACACAGTGATCTTATTTTGATTTATCCAACTTGGAAATGCCATATTTACCTTAAGATTACTTTTCGTTCGTTAAGATTCATGGTTAGATAAACCGAACTATCCGAAAGTTAAGGATCGGTCACAATACACACAAAGACAGTAGAGCCAGGCTAACATAGACACACACATTAAAGCAGACGGGGAGGACAACAAACACCGAGTGACGACAGTTATGGCCACAACCGCGAGTTACCTGGCACAAAGCGCCGCAACAGAACAACATCGTCATCGGCAACATCGTCTTGTTGGGCAGCCAACGATCCACTGTTCGGCAATTCGGTGGTGTAGCTACCCGACCATCGAAGGGAACCATTTGTTAGTTTTCCGTTAGTGCGTCTACTACCCGAAGTCGGGTGGTTAGTTTGGGTTAGAGGTAGATGCAAGTGGGTGTGCAGATTGTTGTTAGAACTTGTGTTAGTATTCAGGGATCGCTGGTCGTCCAGTACTAAAACCCTCTGGCTAACAAACTCCTGTTCAGAGTCACCATCTCCATTGAAGGTCTCACAGGCTGTGGAGGGTTCACTCTCTTCGCTCTGAATTGACTCTGAACTCAATTGATCTGAGAAGAGAATTTCGTTGATAAAGTTATACGTGATTTCGCTCAAACTAAACGCAATGATGGATTCTGATTCTACATCTAGTTCCTCGGACATATCACAGGATGTTTGGCTGGCCATATCTAATCTTAGGATTATATTGTCTCCTACTGTGACGACTTCTTCTAAATGACTTAAATGATCTTCGTGCTTATCTTCTGAGGCGTAAGAACATTCTGATGGGTCTATCTCTAAACAAGCGTCACTCGTTATATCGGTTTCACTTTCAAAATCAAGAGATTCACGGTTGTTTTGTGTACTTACAAAACAATGCGATATATCTGTATCTAAACTGGTTTTACTACCTGACTCAATTTCTGATTCTGAATCTACTATATTTTTCGTACTTAGTAAACCTTGGTATCTATCTGTTTCCATGCTAAGTTCATCTACCATATCAGTTTCAGTCTTATCTGTATCAAATGCAAAACAATCATCTACAAAGCGAATGGGGTCAATTTCAGAAGTGGGGGTTTCTGCTCTGCCTGTTGGGGGTTGCAAGGACGCTGAGCTATCTTCATTCAGTTCCTCAAAGAGATTGGAATGTTGGGACTCGTAGGGAACTTCTTCTATGCTATCATCCATCGAATCAAAGGAACTGAGGTACTTGTGCATGATCAAAGAGCGGCGGCGTCTGCGTTCGATTGTGGCCAGCAGTCGTTTGTCTTTTATGTAAAACTTGCAAATGGTCCCCAAGAGGTTAACGGGCTCGGATCCTTTCGGTGACTCTCCATCGCTCGGTGTTGTGTCATGAATATTTGGCTGTCTTCGCAGATACTTGTGGCTCGCTTTACCTAGAGCAGAACAATCGCTCATGGTGGAGTCTATTGATGCATTTCTTTGAATACCTTCTGGGACGTTGTCCATACTAGCTGATTTAAAATCGCTTGTTGCAATCGATTCGGGTTTTTCAGACATCAAGGTTTCTGTGCAGTCCACTTCCAGAGTTTGAGGATCGGGGATTAAAGCGTTAGAAAATTCTTCTTCAGCAGATACTTTTTGAGCGTCAGTCCCCGATTCTTCTATCTCAACTGGTGGTAATACTGAGACAGATTTTATATCTGAAAGGACTTCAACTGAAACGGTTGATTCCATGGGAGTATCCATTTCCACAGGAACTATGGTCTCCTTTGTACCGGTTTCTATTTCAGGAACCATTTCTACTGCAGGTTTAGACTCTGGGAGTTTTAATTCAGCAGTTTGTAGTTCTTTGACAATATCGTTGACTGGTTGTAAAACGTTTGTTGGAATCGACTTGGGTTCTTCAGACGTTAAGGCTTCTGTGCAATCCACTTCCAGAGTTTGAGGTTCTGGGATTAGAGCGTTCGAAGGTTCTTCAGCAGATACTTTTTGAGCGTCAGTCCCCGATTCTTCCATCTCAACTGGTGGTAATACTGGGACAGATTTTATATCTGAAAGGACTTCAACAGTTTGCGGTTCCGTTGGAATATCCATTTCAACAGGAACTACGCTCTCCTTTGGATTAGTTTGTATTTCAGGAACAATTTCTTCTGCTGTCGGTGGTGTCGCCGATTTAGACTCTGGGAGCTCTAATTCTGCAGCTTGTAGTTCTGGGACCATTTCGTTGTCTGGTTGTAAAACGTTTTTTTGAATAGATTTAGATTCATCAGACGGTAAAGTTTTTGCCTCCGTAATGCAATCCAAATCCAGCGATTGAGGTTGATTTGAAATAACTTCCGTAGGTTGTGGTACTTCTTGAGCTTCAGTTTGCGGTTCTGGTGGTAAAACTGGGACAGACTTTGTATACAGGTGAGTTTCCATTTCCCCAGGAACTATGGTCTCCTTTGTACCAGATTGTATTTGAGGAACAATTTCCACTGCCGTCGGTGGTGCCGCAGACCCAGACTCTAGAGGCTCTGATTCTGCAGGCTGTAGTTCTAAGACAATTTCTTCTTTCACATCCACTGTATCTGATTGCGGAACTCCTTCTGTATATGGTGGATCATCTGATAAAACTATAGTTTCTGAAATAATTTCCAGTGGTATTTTAGAATCTACGTGAACTAATTCTGAAGCCACTTCTGCGGGCGCTGGGATTAAGGATTCCGGATTAAGTTGTTGTGGTTCTTGTGCAGTTTCTGGAGGACCCACGGTGGCTGAGTCTGTTTCTGGAATAAGTTTCTCAAAAGCTTCAGTGCTTGTAGGTTCTGATGACGATATAGGAAGAGAGTCTTTTTGAGAAGCAACGCTAACAGATTGTGGGGAATCCACAACGATAGATTCCATCTGTGAAATAGGTTCTTCAGACACTATGGGTTCCGAAGAAACCGATTCTACTTGGGAAACAGCTTCAACAGCAGCCGAAGCTTCCTCCGTGGTAGCCTTCATCTCCGGTACTACATCCACAGGAACTAATGACTCCCCTTGGAGATCAATATTTTGAGGCGCTGGATTTTCCATATCATCCACTTCAGCAGTTGCACATGGATTTATTGCGACTGGTTTGATTTCTGTCAAAACTTCTGATACAATGGGTTCTACTTCTGGAACGTTTTCTGCGGGATCTGTGTGTTCCGGAGCAATGGTTTCAGCAACAACCGCGTCTATAATAATATTTTGAGGTGGGGGCAAATCCTCTAGGACAGATTGCGTTTCTGGACAGATTACAGTTTCAGATTCTGGAACAAGTTTTTCAGACTCAGGCAAATCATTTACGGCGGGTATAGAGGGTTCTGTGTCTGGAGCACTCTCTGCAGCCGATGGGTGTTCCAAATCAGTATCAACCTTTACCGAATATGGAGTATCGGAAACAGATTCAACTTCAGGAAGAATTTTGCCAGACTCTGACGGTTCCCCATTGACAGATTCAGCTTGTGCCATTTCATCTATAGTACCTGGCGGATCCATTGGGGACGCTACGGCTTGAGAATCGATTTTCACGGGAACTATTGGTTCCACTGGGGCAGCTTCAATTGACTGATCTTCCTTAATAGATTCTACCGAAGGCGTTTCCTCTGCAGTTTCTTGTAAATCCCCTGCGATAACTTCGCTTTGGGAAACGAGTTCATCAGGAGCAATTGGCTCCACGGCGACTGATTCAGTCTCTGAAACAACTTTATCAGATTTCAAGTCGACAGACTCACTCTCTAAAACAACTTTCAGAGATTCCAATGATTCAGGGGCAACGGTAACTTCTGAAGGAATCTCTGCAACGGGTTCCACGTTAGATATAACTGCGGCGACTTGTCCTTCTGGTAAGACTTCCACAGGAGTTTGTAGTTCCACAGGGAAAGCTTCCTGTTCAGCTTCCAATTCCAAAGTCGGTTCCTCTGCGACCGATTCAGTCGCTGGAGCAACTTGATTAAGTTCACTCTCTAAAACATCTTTCAGTGATTCCGAGATTTCAGGTGCTTTAGGTTGCACGTCGGTAACTTCTGCAGCTGCTAATAGATCCACTACAACGGGTTGAACTTCTGCTACCTCCAGTTCGGCAGCTATAATTTCCCCAGCTGGGGTATGTTCTGCAGATATTGGTTCCACAACGAGAGCTTCCTTTTTAGCATCCACTTCCAAAGTAGCTTCCAGTGCAGCCGATTCAGCATTCACTTCTAGCGAATCCACTGCAACCGATTCTGCATCTAAAATAATTTCAGCAGAACTTGGGGATTCTTCTGCAATAGCTTGGCTTACTATTTCCTCACGCGGTGGTGGAGGTTCCACATTAATAGATTCTGCCAATGGTACTGGTGGATCTTCAATTGAAACCTTATTATCCGACACCAGAGGTACTTTTTCGACAATCTCTGGTAGTTCTACGGCGACGTCTGCAGGTTGAAGAATAATTTCCTCGGGCTCTCTAGAACCCACTGCATCGCCCTTTGTTTCTGAAGAGTTTTCCTCTACTATTGAAAGCTCTACACTAGCAGATTTAACCTGTTCAACTTCTCCTGGGAAATCTGCGATAGATTGATTTTCTGGAAGAGCTGAAATACTTTCCAAATTTCCTGTGGAGACTATATTGTCAGATGCTATCTGTGATACAACTTCTGGTGTCTCTCTGGTATCTACAGGAACTACTTGATCTTCTGAAACAACTTCTACGGATTGAGATTCAGGCCCCGGAAGATCTTCTGGAACGGAATTTGATGTATTAAGGGGGACAATGCTCTCATCTTTTTGTATGCTTTCAGAGGCAGACGGTGATGGAGTTTCAGACACAAATTGTTTTTCTAAAACACCTTCCACGGGTTGCACAACTACCGATTCTGCTTGGGATAGAACCTCTGTTGTGGATGGATCACTTTGCACAAGCAAAGAAACAACTCCGTCAGCCTTTGGCGGTTCCTCTGGGTTGGCTTGTGTATCTGGAATAATCGCCACATCTTTTTCACCAACACATGGTAGAGAAACGGTAACGGGTTCTGCCTGAGCCACCATCTCTACAGGCTCCACAGGCACGTCGACTATATGGGACTGTAGAGCAACTTCTAGTGGTAATACTGAATCAACAGTAAGGGGTTCTTTTTCTGGTATAGCTTCCACAGGAACTTGTGTTTCCAAAGCAAGAGATTCAGTCTCAGGAGGATTTTCTTCAGGCTTAGGCGATTCCTCTTTTACGCTTTCGGCTAAGGGAGCAACTTCGGCAGTCTGTTTAATATCGACAGCTTCTATAGGTGCAGGTGCATCCAATGCAATGGGAGGAATTTCCGGAACAATTTCCGCTTCTATTGCGACAGATTTCGTTTGCATTGGTTCTAAAAGATTTTCTTCATGCACTTGGAATTCTTCAACAACGTCCACAGGAGTAGGTTCATCTATTGCGATTGTTTTTGTTTCTGGGACAATTTCGACAAGAGACGTTTCTTTTTCGACGGATTCTGGAACCATTTCTGTATTCAGTATGGTGTCTACTTTTGCGGGTAGATTTTCTGGAACTATTTCCAAAGGCGTTGGTAAACTTACGGAGGCAGAGTCTGCTTGGGACGATAGGGGATCCACAATAGATTCAGACTCTGGAATACATTGAGGTGGTGCGCTAGATTCATCTTGGTCCACGATTTCAATTGGCGTTGAGGGGTCATTTTCTGCGAGTTGGGTTTCTAAAACGATTTCCATAGGTTCCGGCATATTGACGATCTCCGCTTGAGGAACAGCTTCTTCGATAGGTGATGGATCAACTGCAGTTGGTATTATCTCTTTGGGTTCATCCACAGGTAAAATTTTTGCAGAAACTAACTCATCTTCTGTCACCGCTTGCATTTCTGGATTTATTTCTTCAGGTTTTGGAGCATTCACTGTGAGTGATTCTACTACTACTTGTGGTTCTGAAACTATTTCCTCAGAACCTACAGCTTCGATAGGCGATGTCTGCTCCACAGCAGATTCTTGTTCATTTATACCAACACCTTTGGTTTCCTGCACTTCAGGTGACACTTGTAAATATGGTTCCTCGATAAGAGTTTGTATTTCGGAAAGTAATTCCACAAGCAGTGATGGGTCTATTGGTCGATCCACTGCGACCAATGGAGTGTCTGATACTACTTCCTCAGTTTTTTCGAGCTCTACAACTTCTAATGGAGCTGGAACCACTTCAGGATTAATTTGCAACGTTGCTGATATTTCCACACCGACGGATTTTACATTTGAAACAACTTCTTCAATTACTGGTGGATCCACTGTAAGCGAGTCCGTTTCAAGAATCATTTCCTCAGTTGTTTCCAGCTGTACAACTTCTATTGGAGCTGAAATAACTTCTATAGGGATATCCAAAGGTGTAGAAGGTTCCACATCGACGGATACTGGAATATAATCAACTCCTATAGGCTCTGTAACCGTTTCCACAGGAACTGGAGCTGTTTGTTCCAATGTGCCAGTTCCTAACGGCGTTGGTATATCCACTAAAAATGGCTGTGTTTCTGGAAGTATTTCCACGGGCGCTGGCGTATCAACTGAAACCATTTCTAGAGGATCCGCTGCTACGGGCGTTGAATCTGTTTCTACAGCGACAGGTTCTACCTGCAAAACATTTTCTGTTACATTTGCCGCTGGATCCTGTCCGACAAATTGTGTTTCGGAAGTGGGTTCCTCGCCTACGATATTTTGAGATTCTAAAGCCATCGCCATTGCAATAACTTGCGCCTCTGTAATGCTTTCCAAGTGCTCCACAGGCGCTTGGAGTTCCACTACTACAGGATCTGAAATGATTTCCACAGGGACAGATGCTGGTTGTGCATCGTTTTCTATCGTCTGTGAAACACCCATTTCTTGATCAGATTCTAACGGCGCTGGTACATCCACTAAACAGGTCTGTGTTTCTACAACACTTTTCGCAGGTGCTAATCCAACATTAACAGGTTCTGCGGGTTCCGTTGTTACAACGACTGATTTCACCTGGTGATCATTTTCTGCTACATTTTCCGGAGAATTCTCTGTTACAAGTTGGGTTTCTGGTTCGGGTTCCTCCACGACGGGTTCAGGCTGGGTAAAAAACTCTACAGGAGCTGGAAGATTCATAGTGTTGGTTAGATGCTCACTTTCAGGTTCTGCTGGTGCTATTTCTTCAATGATTTCCAACGGAGCTGGAATTTCTAACTCTGAAGATTGTGTTTCTAGAACAGTGTCAAGGGTTTCCACATCTGCTGATTTTATTTCTAAAATAACTTCTAAAGATTCCAAGTCGGATTGGGGCGCTGGTATTTCCACTGCAATAAGTTGAGTTTCTATATCCACCGGCGCTGGAGGATTTACGGCCAAGGAGTTCCCTGGTGATTCAGCAGATTCCGTCTCTGAAACAACTCCGGTAGACGTGGTCTCTTCTACTACGGAGATTGTCTCCGCAGGATTCGGAAGTTCTACAGTTTCTGGAACGACTTCCATTGATGGTGGAGGTGGTGGAGGTTCACACTCAGCAACGTGCTCTAAAGGTGGAGGTGGTAGCACCATATCATCTTGTATAACACTCCCCTGCTCTTGTGCAGACGTAATTTCTGCCAGCGGTGGAGGTTCTAAAATATCAAAGTTTCCCTTTGAGACAATCTCTGATGGCTCGGTGTTCTCCTCTTCAATTATGTCCAGAGAATGCATATGCACCAGTTCCACGGTGCGAGCGTTAATCTCGGCGAGGGCCAAGTCACTCAGCTCCTTGAGGGTGTGCATCTCACTGGGTGTCATGGCTCCAGGCTGTTCGGAGGCCGGAACCGCTAGCATGGGTCCCAAAGCCATGGCTGCCAGGATCTCGATCACCGATGGCACGGTCTCGTGCATTTGCTCCTCGTCGATGTACTCGACTGTTCCGAAGCCAGTGCAGCCTTCGAGGCTGGCCAGCTCCTCAGATTCGCCTTGGGCTGTAACACAAACGACTGCTAAGTGCCGATGCTTTAAGATCACGCACAAGTGGGCTGAGCTTCTAAAGGGGAGGGTCTACAGCAAAGATGATATCAACGATCTAAGTCGGATAATGATCTAGGTCTAGGGGTTAGTACAAGTCTTAGCAGTAAGAATGAGATACATCAATTGGAGGTATACAGGAAAAATATTATAAGGAAATTACCTGCAATGGGAGTGTGTTCTGGCTCCTCATTCAACAAATCATCCTGGAATATCATCGGTGGCGGTGGTGGTGGATTCGGTGAAGGAGCCCTAATATCAGAGGGCACTGCCATGGGAGACACCACAAACTCATTGGTGGTCTCCGTAAATGCGGGCTCGTGCTCCTCCAGCAGAGTGTGGGACGTAAGACTCGTGCGATCCACGAGCTCATCCAGTACTAGCTTAGTGTTCTGGCCACCAATCAGGTGTTTGCTCAGCAGCCGATCGTTCAGATCGTTGCATCGCAGTAGATCCAGAGAGCTCTCCTCTAAATCCGAACCAATCTCCGACAGATCGCTGACCTCGTCGGTGGTCTTGTCGCCAATCTGGGCCCGGACATTCTCCCGGGGTGCGGGCACTAGCATGCCAACGCTGCTCGGAGTGGCCGAGCTGCGCTTCTTCTTGAACAGCCAGTTGTCCTCCCAGTTCCCATCACCGATCATGCCCGAGGAGATGGATCCAATATCTAATAGGGAGGTGGGGATAACTCTTTGGAACCATGGATGTATAAGGTTTACTTACCATCCTCGGATTCGGTAACGGAGGCCGAAAAGTCCGGCAGTGGCACCATATGTGCGGCTATATAATCACTGAGGACCGATTCCCTTTCCAATTCCGTTTGCAGGGATTGGGACTTGCCATTCTGTAAGAAATTTTGATTATCATATTATAACTATTTAATAGTTTCAAGTCTTACATCCAGTCCGATTTCATGATCCGTGAGGCTGCAGTCACTGCGTGGTTCTATTGAGCTCCCGGACGTGGTGCTCAGCGCTTCGGCATTGAAATTCTCGTCAATGTGGCGACCACTCAAGTCCGGCGTACTCTCAGCCAGTAGCCTTGTATTCCCTTCCTTATCCGCAATCTGGCAGGGTAAAAAGAAAAGAGCAACATTTTAGCCCATCGACCTTGGCATTGTGCAATAAAAGTGTTGTTGAACCCCAGAGTTCCCGATTTGTTGTGGGTCAACTTTTGCTTGTGCGACGAAAAAAAGCCCTTAAGCTGATTATGGCCGGCAATAATTTTAACCAGCCACTCGACGACACTTGACGACCGCTCGTTTAGTTTCGTCATCGATTACCAGCCACTATTGATCGAGTGCCGTGACGAAGTCATTCACTGACCACGTTGCAGAAGGCGATTTGATAAGGAAATTGGGCAGTTCAATGCTGACTGGATCGATGACGCTGTGATAGGATCGTTGATAGAGTAGATAGAGTATTTCACCAGTCACTCTCGAACATTACTCTTCCTACTATAATAACTTCTTTGGGAGTTGATTACTTGATCTCCTGGCTCTGCCATGATCCTGCTTAAGCTGATAAAACTCTCTTGGACTTTCCAACACAATTGATTTATCCAATTAGCGCTGGGTTTGATTTCGGTTTTCCTCCGCTGTTGCTGTTTGGTTAGTTGGCTAAAACGTCTGCACGGGCAAGACAATGGACTGCAACTAATTAGCCTGGTCTGTTTCGGCGATGTGGCAACTGGAAAATCGAAGCCGCCCAAGTGCAGGTCGAATGAAAGGGAAAACTTAACGGGGAGGCCCCCTCCCTCGCCCAGTTAAAATGGCGGAAATGGAAATGACTTACAAAGTGGCCTACGTAGGGGCAGGGGGCTGAGTGATACGACCTACCTTATTCAGCACCGCTGTGGCCAACAGATCCTGGTAGATCTTGGGCTCGAAGTAGTGCTCGGTGCGATGGCGTCTCTTTAGGCCATTTCCGTTGGCCAGCAGCTCGGAGGCGTGGGATCTGGTGTCCAGGCTGATCTCCGAGACGGCTCCACTGGCACTCAGGGAGGTGCTTCGCAGGGTCTCCGCTATGATCGTCTCGATGAGACTGCGTAGTCGGGTCTGCGACAAGTCGGCCAGCTCGGAGTCGGCATTGTTGTTGTTAACATTGTTATTATTATTGTGGCCATGGTTGTGCCCATTTACGATGGCCGGCAGATCTGAAAGCAAGCATTGCGGAGCGGTGTGAGCAAAATTTACAAGACCCAGAATGCTGGTCAATATACCATGCACTACGAAATGCTTGGTTAGCAGAGATCGATACAATTAAAAGTGAAAACTCGGTTACTTCTAGGCGAATGTGTGAGTGTGTGAGTTTGTGAGCGTGTGTGAAAGGTAAAGAAAGTAAGTGTGAGTATTTTAGCCATACCTAATTTCACCTCAATGACGTAAACCACGTAAAAGACAATTACGGCCACAACGGCATACATGCCAGTGACTAGGCCCAAAGTAAAGTCCATGCTGCATGCATACATATGTTTAGATATGTGAATATATTCGCAAGTATCGTTTGATACCGCTGAATCGTTGATATCTCGCCCGTTTGTTTATTTACGTTGGCCGTTGTATTTGTATTTGGGTTTTGTTTAGAGCTTTCATTGATATAACGGTCGGCTGGCTGAGCTGTTAATTATATTGAGCAAATATTTGAGTTTTGTCGTTTCATTTTTTTGTTCCCCTAATTGAGCTCCTAACATAAATTTGTCACCGCCTCCCCATAAACGCTTCAGCGAGCGGGGCTCTCCAAACTTTGAATAACTCCACTCAGGCTGAAAATCGCGACTACGGTTCGCATATTTATCATTTTCTTTTGACATGCTAAGTCTATTAACGTATTGCGGTAAATACCCCATCGCATAATGAATAACCCCGAGTTATCTATTTTGCGTTACAATGCCGCCCATATTTCTTTATCTGCTGGATGTCTAGTCCCCCGTTAGTCATTCAGGTGTGCAAAAAATGTCACAGACACAAACTTTTGTATCCAGAACACAGGCATTCATCTACGCGCGAGTCATCAATGGAAATAGCCCCAGAAACTGGCTCCTAGGACAGAACCAACCGGATCACTTCGCATTGTCTGAGATGGGAGATTAAATTGCGCGACTCCAAAGTTCAGGGTTCAAACGAAATCACTCGGGCAATTATCACTCGCTATTCTAGAGTTTTTATGAATTTAATTCTCTCGCCCTGCCAGTGGGTTCAAGTGGCCCCCTGATTAGGCCCCTTCAGACGGCTTCGACTTCGATCGGTTAACTGGGCCCGCGATAAGTCAGGTGCACAAGTTTTTATTTAGTTAAGGTCAAAGATAAACTACAGCCAGTGATTTTGGTTACGGAAACGTGTTGAAAGTCCACGTTCATCATTTTCACGATCATAATTCGTTGTTAATCTCGGGATTACACATTCAGAGCTCTAAGCGGGGATATCGGGGATCATTAATATTTATTAGCGTTGATTAAGGTCTCTTCCTCATCTCTAGCGTTTGTTTTTACCTCACGATTATTGATTTCTATTTTTGCTCATTTTTTACTTTTCGCCAACTTGGTGTCGGGTCAAGGTTGCTGATAACTCATCACTTAATGCGGTCGGTCTCTTGGCGTATTTGATTTAGGGTCTTATCTCGGCAGCTGGAAAAGTTCCTACAATCTGCTGGCCGGAATTCTTGTTCTATGCACGAAAATAGTATGTTGTTCTATATTCCATGTTATCACACGCGTTTCGGCCGGACTCTTTTGGCCCGTAGCTAAATTGGCGTTACGATCACGGCGCGCCGCTTCTGGCAACTGAAGCGGTGCCGTGCGATTGCCGAGCGGTGAGCGGCGAGCGTCTAAACGCTCACTCACACACTTTAGTTCATATTTCGTATACGTATGGGGGACCCTACAGTGGGGCAGATTGGTAGATTTGGCTGAAAGGTGAAGTTATTAACCACTTTGCCGCCCAAATTGGCGAAATAACCTATGAGCGTGACCAAATCAATCGGTTGTAAAGACAGAACCCCTTAAGTAATCTTGTAAGTAAGACATTTACGTAAATTTTCGCTGATCTGAGCACGAAACCTGTTGGTGAGCAATGCGCCAACGGTGCGTATGATTAATGTCTATCGCTGCCTGTCATCTGAGCTAAGGCTGGGATTTTGTGCGGCGTAGCACTTGAAAAAGTACCTGCGAATCGTTGTATCATAATGTTCTCGCTGTCATCGGCACTTCAATAGCTAAAAAGCCTTATCAAAGCTTTGGGGTCTTATCAACCAGCATTGACCGCGATTTTAGTGGGTTGGAAAGAGAGACCAAGATTGCAAGTGGAGAGAGTTGATTTTGCCGTTTTAATTGGCCGCTCTGATTATTGTATAGTGATAAGAACTAGCTACAATCATTGATTCATAGTTTGCTTTAGGGCCTACGGAACGATTCCTGAACATATTGTGTGTATGCATGCCAAGGTTATAAAATGCAGACGCACGGTTATGACGGTTTTTTATTAATTGTGATTTATTATATTATTTGGTTCTCGGTTGCACTGCTTTCGTAATGGAACTTTAGAATATACCTATTACGATTGTTTATCTTTAATGTATTGTCATAAAAACAGTTTATCTTTAAAAATTTAAATATGCTCTACAATGATAAAATCATTTTGAGAAAATAAAAAGGGGAATGACAAAAAGACGGTGACTTTATATAAGCTAATAATAATATTAAATAGATATAGAGCCGTAAGGAAATTATACAATTTCTGAATGAGGATATCACAACTTGATAAGATATAGTACCTGAACAAATAATCAATCTATGAAAGATACTGCCTACTGAAACTATAAATCGAGAGGTCAAGTCAAGGGTTAGCGTACAAAACAGACGATTACAGCGTGCAACTCGATCGATTAGTGACTTTCGATTACCAATTACTTACCTCCCTTAAGCGCACGCGCGCACAAACTGTTTTCCACATTGATAAGCAGGTTACTCAGCTTCGCATGGAATTTATCAAAGAGTTGCAAGTCTGATTTGCATGTGTGTGATGTTTGGTGTGTGTTGTGTGTATGTAAGTGTCATGTGTGGTGTGGGTGTGCAAATATTGGTTAATGAGCGAACAAAACAAAAAAGACAGATAGATATTCCAGCAAGCTGGAACTTAAGTTTAAATTTTAGAGTAACTTAACTTAATTTAATTAAATTAATTAATTTAAATGTATTTAATTAATTTAAAAAATAATTTATTTTTTTGACAAATGCCCAAAGTTATGCAATACTTTAGTGGCAAACAATTCTCCAAAACTCGAAAATGAAACACAAAAAATGTTGCGCGCAACATGACTATGAAAAAATGTTGAAGCAACAATGCTGCGTGCAACATTTGTGGTATTTTTTTAAAACTGTTGGATTTTGTCTTAAAAATTTCTTGTGTTTTAGTTTTAAAGTAAATAAAATGTATCTTCTTTTATCAAAAATAATTACCAGGTCAATTGATTTTCAGGCAATCTTTGTACTTACAGTTCTCGCTTTTGGACAGCTGCCCCACTTTAATGTGGTCCAAATTGCCGCCCAGCATTTCGGCCACGATCTCCTCGACGTACTCGCGGATCTTGGCCCGCTCGTCCATGCTGGCAGTCTGGCCAATCTGGCTAACACTCTCGAATTCTGCAAACCCACATTATATAGTAAATTATTTATTGCTTTTGGATTGCACTTACGCATGCTACTGTCGTTGCCATCGCCCACAATCGGTATGTAGACCTCACTCCTGGCCCTCATCGGATAGACGAACTTGTGCTGGTTGAAGGACATCTGCTCGGCCACCCACGAGGAGGTGTGGGCTAAGGACTCCTTGGAGCTCTGGCACAGCTGGCACTCCCACTTGGCGTCCTTGGGCCGCCAGTCGGCGCACTTTGGCCCGCGGCAAACGGATTTCCCGCAGGTGCAACATGTCACGTAGCTGGGGAGGGAAAAACGGTACTCAAATTGGTAATACATTCGTTACTTTTTCAGGTCATTTGTCTGAAATGTCTAGAATAATGTGAGAAAGCTTTTGAATAGGTATTCATATTTTCCTTTCTGCTCTTTTCTTTATGTCTAACTCAAAATTCATATTTAATGTTTTTTAATAAATTTTAAATAATTGCAAAATATTTTAAATATTTTCAACAAGATTATTGTCTAAAAATTCATGTTTCTTTAAAGAACCATTTTTAAAAAGATTTCACTCAAGTCGATATTTAGCTATTTATCATTTGATCCTTTCCTGGAGTACAACTAATTAATTTACTATACTTTGTTCCGTTCCTTTCTCGTCCTAATGCTTTGCCCATATTAAAATTCAACCTGAGTAACTGAGTAAGAGAAAGTAACATACTTTCCCTATTAATATTCCATTTTTGTATTCTGGTATAATGAACCTAACCAGCTAGAACGTCAGACCTTTTAACAGCAAACAAATATATTTAAAAATGCTGATAAATATCAACAATATCAAACAGGTATTTTGGCGTATTCAACCGATTAGTTGTTCAGACTCAACTCTTACTCACTTTTTGGCACTGCTCAGATCCAGGTCCGCACAGCAGACGTTGCAGTTGTGATCCTCGCTGGTCTCCTCCTTCTTCCACTTCTTATTGGCTAGTTTGCTGCAAGAGAAAAGGCGGAAGGAGTCGCAGATGTTAGTTCGAGAACGAGAACGTTCGGATAATCTAGAGCCCAAACCAGACGATTAGTCAGGTCAGTTCTAATGAACAGCTGGGGTTATTCAACGTCGAGAAGGTCGTTGGCTAAAAATCAACCAATTAGTCGCTGGCTATCGATCGTGTTGCCTAACTTTTGAACCCAGCAAACACTTCCCCCTAACGAAATTCAAATAGTTGGGGCTCCACCCAACTGCAATTGACTTTCTCCCTGGCTGTTATCCCAGCCAAATTGCATAACAACAGCGAAAAACCCGTTGGACCAGGCAAACAAAAACTCAATGGGGTTCGCTTTTTTATAGCCAAGTTTAATCAACCTACTAAAGCAGTAACAAGTAAGGCTTAAAATACATGTAGCTCTATCACACATCTTACAATTACAATCTAGAGAGACGCACTGTCTCGATATGCATTCGGATTATGTCAGTCACTTACAGTTCTTACACAATAGCGAGAAGAAGGGAATTCCTGGGTGTCTTGTACGTGCTCGAACTGAGCAATCGCCAATCGGTTTGCCGCCGCTGCTTAACTTATTCAAATGGCAAAATTCGCAATTTTGCTTACAAACAAACAAATATAATTTAAGGAAAATTTTCAACCATAAACAGCTAGCGAAAACATTACACTGGCGAAACAATTGAATACAAAAGGGTGTAGAGGCCGTAGAAAGCTCAGTCAGTATACCCGCTTAAAACCGAACTAATTAAATATACTCTTAAAATTGTTAAACTTAGGTTTCCCTAAGACGTTGCTGCTGTCGCTGGTGGAACCTCATCCTCCGGCGGGCCCAGTGCTCGTAGTTGTTCTCCAGATTCTCGTAGTAGATCTGCTCCTCCCCGTCGGGTCCACCGTTCTCCTCCCAGTCCTCGACCGGAGGTCCCAGGGCCGGGTCACTGGTGGTCAGCTTGAGCAGCACCACCTCCATGCTGCAGACCATGAAGAGGAATCCCAGCACCGCAAAGCTGATGGGCAGGCACATCAGCCGCTCCACCTGGCACAGCACCACCGCGGAGAACAGCATTCTCCCTGTGGGTTATTCTGGTTACTGCCCGGGTTCCAAATGATGATCGCGATGATCGGGTTTTCAGGTATTCGATTTGTTTGTCGACTGATTAGCGCCGCTGGGCTCACTGGGATCTTTTGGCATGGCACTCGCGTTGAACCGATTTCGCCAATGGAGAAGCACTTAATGCCAATTCGCTATCAAATCGCGATCCGCGTCCCACGACACTGACAACTTTCTCGCACAAGGTTCGCCTTTGTTGTGCGCAGTTGGCTTTGAGAGTCGGCGGTCAACAGCTGAGATCGGATCGGGTCTCTAGTGATAGTCTCTCCGTAGCTTCCAAAGCCGTGCCATATCCATATCCCATGCCGGTTTGAGTCGGGCCGCGAGAGCGGTAGCCTCTCTCTATCGCTAAACAAACTCGTTAGTGACGTAAGTGAGTCCCCCCTGCACACGATCCCCGCGAACAGGTCTATATAGCGGAATGACTGCGCATATTTCCATGCAGATTTATCGCCTTTCTTCCCCGATCTCTTGGAAATCTGAATCTGGTCAAGCAGGAACCGTTTCGGTTCGCAGGGGGAAGATACACGTACGTGGTCCAACATCATCGCCTGTCTGCTGCATTCATTTGTCTACAAATTTATTTTTGGCAATATTTTTCCCGCTTGCCATCTTGGCCTGAACTTCATTAATTTCCAAATGCTAATGGTGAGAAACATTCCGCAAACGAGTTAGCTTAATTCTTGTCTGGCAAAAAATAATGTATGCATGCTGCCAGGGGTTTATTAACTAATCAATCGAATGGCTGGTCGACTGGATTCGAGTTTATTTTAATTAATATTTTGGCAACGATTGGCGCCACGAATCGGAATCGGCAACACTTTCATCGGCCTGAAACGTGGGTCGGCGGGGAATATTTTTCAAAAAGACCATATCTCATTTCTCAAGATTCCCTAGAAATCTGTGCTGAGAATCTGGGTTAATATATGTAAGTCTCATGTATCCCATTAGCATATTTCCGCACGAGAAAGCGTCAAGCCCTCAGGTTCCGTCTTTATTAATATCCCAACCAAGTCCAAAGCTTTCACAAACGCTTCATTGATAACAAAATCTTAGGAATTTCCCAGAACCTGAAGATGGAGATTAATAAATTCTTGGTACCAACATATTTGCACTGAGAACTCGTAAGTGCCATCATAAATTGCTTTATTGTCAGAGAAGTAATAACGCTTTTATTGTCTAGAAGTTTATCATCTTATTCTTGTGAGATCATCACTGACCGTATATATATGGTTTGTTTTAAATAGCATAAATCCCAGGCCAAACATTTCAATTTATTAAAAAAAAAAAATAAAAAAAAATATTTCAACTTGAGCCCAAAAGCATGCACTGAAATATAAAAACATATGCACACATATTTTCAGCACCTTTAACCACAAACCAGCTAGAAAATAATACTGCCAAAATCCTATATAAATGTAATCGGGTCTGCTGCTATTGCTCTCACTCTCTCATGCGGTTTTAGATCCCACTTTCGACCGCTGAAAATGCTTCGGATATAACTTTTTGTGGCTTTTCACTTGCCACAAGGCTAACATAACTCGTTTGTTCTCACTTTAATAGCGAATAAAAACTCAGAATATCTGTGCATATCTGTGCTGTGCCATCGGGCAGCTTTAATTGCATTTGACTGACTTTCCACAGTTCCACAACTTGTTTGGCTTATGGCGAATGCTTCTTTTGAGAGACATTTATAACATTAAGACGTCTTTAAAGCTCCGGCAATTGCTAAGTGAAATAAAAGTACACTGAAAATATGTTATGTATTTATATTTTTGACACATATTTCAGAAGGGTTACTAATTTTCTGTTTAATTTTAAATAATTTTCATTATATTGAAATGATTGGTATTACGTATACGTAATGTACCCTTTAGGGAACACATATTATTCGTTAAATTATTTGTATTTCATATTTTTAATCAAATATGTTGTTTATTTTTTCAAAAACCCTGTTGATTTGTAACTCATAGTAATACTACGCTAACACACTCAAAGATGATGTGTTACTCCCGCAACAGTAATAACACAAATAAAATTGTCAACAAAGCGGCTAATTAAGCTGCCATTGAATGGTGACGAAAGCCAAACAATCGAGGCGCGTTGTTAGCCATGGCTAATTGTTATTGGCAATTCGTGACGCTTTTTAAGGAAAAAGCGAAGGGAGGGGGAGGGGGAAAGTAGTGCCCTTTGTTGGCCAACGACATCCGTTGGCCATTCCTCATGATTCTATGGTTCTTATGGCCAAATTGGCGGAAAGTCAATGACAGTTTGTCTGCGGCTGGGAATGTTATGAAACGTCGCGTCTAACGGACCGTCGGACCATCGATAAAGCATAACAGGTGCAGCATAAATTCGAAACAGGTGGCTGGGATTGCGCAATCCTTAATTAAGGCGAAGCTGCGTACTCGATGCCCAAAGTGAGCAACTGCAGCCGCGCCAAGTGGCAAGTAGCAAGTGGCAAATGGCAAATGGCGGCTGGAGAAATGGCAACAATTATGTCAAATCTCTTTCATTTGGCCATTTCCCACACGCAAACGCAATCAAGTCATGCGAAACGATGGACACGTAACCGGGCTGAAGCTGCAGTCAAGAAAGTTTAGTTTCAGTTTCTATTTTGGATTTATCTTGCGCTGCATTTTGTATCTGCGAGTGCACATAAGTACGTACTGCATCTGCACGTGCGCCCACCGAGTTTAGCTCACGTATCCGAACTTGCATCCATCGCTTTCAATATTTTGATTTATCTCCATTTGATTAACTCACCCCAAGAGCTGCTGGGCGCCGCACTGCAGCAGGTAGGCGCCTCCGATGAGACCCACCACGGAGGTGAGTCCCAGCAGCAGATTTCCACTTCCAGGTCGACTGATTGGTAGCTCCATGAGGCAGATGTAGGGGCGCATCCAGCGCTTCAAGCACTGCGGAGTTCGCATTGAATTCAATTACGATATCGATTTACATTAGAACCCATCACATACACACAAACGGAAGCCACTCCAATTTAATTCTACCTCTAATGAAACGACTAACTCGACTAAATCAAAGAAATCGCGGGTGGAATACTCCATAAAACTATTTCTTCGGACTTATCGGAACCAAAATTCTACCACCATATCATTTTCTATATGCGGCTATCATCTCTTTGTGAGCATTTTACGTGTTTTTCGGCCAATTCATACTTTGGCCTTAGCCTTATCAAAAAGTTTTTGTTTGTTCGGTTTAAATTACCAAGATTTCGTCATGAAGTTGTATGGGTAAATACCCTTTACAGGGCATTTAAGTTTCGAGAATCTTGAGTTTCGGTTTTGGTATTTTAAATGGCAACACCTGTAATACAATTAGTTACCGGTGAAAACATCACGTAGTAAATATTTTTAGGTATAGCTCATTATTGTGTTGAACCATTGCAATTGGTCACATTCTATTTCGTGACTATTAAAAATAGCAGATTTCAACATAATGGAATAAAGGAATAACTTTTAATCTACACATGGAAGTGATTTAAGACTCTGCTAAAAACACTATCATAAATCACTTAAGAAAACATTATTCACTTAAGTATGCAAATCTTATCGATTGCAGTCAGTCACTTTTAGGAGTTAAAATAACTTTTCTGCAATCGTTTGAATCACGTACGGACCATTACTTAGTCGTATATTTATTTGCTTGAGCGTTTTCCTTTGTTTTTATTTTTGCACACCGCGATTAGCACTAATTAAAGTTGATAAATGTACGTATGTGCTTTTTGCTAAATTCTTATCGACAGTATTGCTGTTTTCTGGCGAGATCTTTGAGGGGAGATCGGAGTGGTTACATAACTTCCTTTTACTTTGCATAAATAATTTACCAAAATTATAGCTTCGGGGCTTTTAAGTGTGTGTGTGTTTGGTTCTAAGAAAAATGTGTTTAATTATCGTGTTATTCACTTCAGTTGGCATTAAAGTTGTGGGTTTTATTTTGGATTTTTATTTTTATTAGTTGTGGAATCTTCCAAGTGAACCGAAGTGAACTTCACCGAGGGAATATCTGAATAAATAATTACCACAAATTTTGATTTTTTCGTTTGACTTGTTGTTTCTGTTTGCAGTTATGTACGACGATTATCAATCACTTTCGGGGAATCGGGGAATATCTTTCGGAGGTCTTTGCCACACGAACTCGGCCCGCTAATTCCCATTGCCCCCGCCCCACCGATCACCACCTCACTCCATCTTCAAAAAACCCGAAAATAAACCCGAATGCATGACGCAAAAATTGAAACAAATACTCGTAACAAGACTGATTAAGATCACGCGGCTAAGGGCCTCCGGTTAACGACGATCTTCAGTTAACTCAACGATTGGAGCAGCTGACTCCGACTGCGACTGAAGCGGCGACAGGTTTGTTTTAGCCAAGTTATATTTGGTTTTGTTTACTTTTTTGCACAATATATATAGGCACTGGGGTATACAACTGGGGTATATGGGCATTATATTGGATTTTGTTTGCCCACTTCGTTATTGCGGATCGCGTACATAAGCCGACCGTTGATTTGATAAGAGTTCCGCTCGCGTCCAGTGATAAATATATAGGTATGCGACGAAAAGTTCGCAGATAAGTGTCAAGACTTTTTCGGAGGTTAACTCACATACAGGAATTCAAATACTCTTTCCAATTCGATTCAATCTACGGCCTAATATTGTTTCTAATAATTGTGTTTGTTTTTTATTTTAATTTTTCTATTTCATTTTTTTTAGGGTTTTATGTGCGTTGCTGGCGAGTAACCAAAATGGAACTGGCCATTGGTGGCGCAGTGGGTCAGAGCTTTGTTGTCCACGCAACCGGAGGGTGGAAAGCAAATCCCCATTGAGCCCTCTAAAATATAGACAGTTATGACCCCCATACCCCATCCCCCATCCAGTATTTGTTGGCATTTCGCATTGTCCAACCCAACGGACCTTATGCAAATGCAAATGCCACTTGGCAGCTGCCAGTCACATGTCCGCCGCTTAACTGGTGGCAAGAGTTGGTGGCCAAGAGAAAAATATGGGAACCTCTGAAATCGATTGGCCCTGCCATTGGCCATGCAAAGCTTACGGCAATTAATTGGCATTAATCAACTTAATTATGAAATATTCGATAAGATTGCGACTCCACTCCTCGGGCGGCGATACTCGTGTGGAAAAGCGAAATTATCATGGAGTGGTTAAGGGGTTTCAGGCCTTAAAGCCAGTCGATTCTAGGATGCTCTATTTGTCTATAGATACTATAAAAAAATAACTCAAAATAATATTTTCATTATTTCCTTTAGTTATTAAAAGTGTTATTAATCAGTTGGAGCTATAAACTACAATTATCCCCCCTATAAAGTGTACAATTTATTTCAAGACAGACAGACAAGACAATTCAAAGAGGTTCCTTCAATTATGATTGCCAAACTGGGTTGGTCGCCCATTATCATTCTAATGGAACTTCCCCGCCACTTCGTCGTACTGTATTTTCCCAAACAAATTGCAAACTCATTTGAAAGCTCCGTGGCCAGAAGCACTGGGTTTCTCTTTGACAATTGTCGAAACAGATTCCCAGAAGAGCCCAACTGCTCACGGAATGACTTCTGGCTGTACGAATGTATGAATGACATGGCTGACTGACTGACTGCGCCCGAGATTTTGTCATTTCCATTTTGAGGTCGGCAAATTTGCGTAAATTGATATCCGCCCGCAGTCAGTAGGATGGATATGGAGATGGAGATGCATGCAACCAATGCAACATAAGACTGTGGGCTCCATGCGCACCCAATAAGCCAATCCCAGCTGCCAGTCGTTTCCGTTTTGGTCATAAGAAATAGAAAATAGAACCCGAAATTTAAATAGCTTTTTAATTAATTTTCTTATTAATCTTAATATTATTGCCCAAAAACCTAAGGAATAATCCTTGTTTATTTCATATTCAATGGAACTCTTGGAGAGTGCAAGCTGTAACCGGCTTGATTAGAGTTAATTTGAATCAACTTCGTATGTGTACGACTTTTATGGGAGCAATAAAAGGTAGATGTGAAGTGGAGATAGTACTGTGGAATTTATATCCCGTTTTCTACTCACCTTAATCTATCTCTCAGCTGCTGGTGGGTGAGGTGGTCCCGCTGCAGCACTTGGAGGATGCGCTGGCACTGGTGCAATCGCTGGCGCCTCCTCAGGGTAGGGGTCTCCGCCTCCAGCACCGCAATGCCACTGTCCACACTGGAGTTCAACTGCTGCTGGACGGGATCGGGACTGCTCTCCTTGGTGTTGCTGCTGCTGCTGCTTATGATGTTGCTGCCCGCTGGCGATGTTGCTGCTGGCGCTTCACCTGCCATGTTGCTGCTGTCGTGTGTTTGTAGTTTGTTTGTGAATTTAGAGCGGCCCTAGGCCATTTCCGCACTCAGTTTCCCAGTAGCTCAGTGGGTACACATGCAGGCGGCACTTTTTCAACCTCTCACGCACATGAAACACTTTTGGCAAACAAATTCGCTTCGCGGCTCGTTTTTGTGTTGTGTGTTAATTACGCGCCAGTTACGACCATTGTTTTGCCACTGAAAGCGGGCCCGCACTGCCTTCGACTTGGGCCTCCAAAAAAAAAGCGAAAAAGTCGCTTACGGAGCAGCTTATCAGCCGGCGCGATACACAAACTCAAATTCAAGACTTCCCGGGTGGTGCTGTGTGTTTATGCCTGGGAGCGTTCGCTTTCGTACTGCAATCAAAGGAATTTTTGGTTTATTTTTACGGCCGGGACCCATAAACAAATGCGGCAGCAGATAACGAAAGCCCCTCTCCTCTATCCCAACTCTCAGATAACCAGAATCTTGCCTTGATGCCTCATCGCTCCCCCATCTCAGCAAAAAGCGCCCCTGACGTCTTTGCGTTGGTCTGTCACCTTCGACTCTATATATTCATGAGATACATCTGGATATACATATATCTGGGTGTTGCTGCACCCAAAGTGAAATATGCACTTACAGCTGCGCTTCGCACGCCCAAATATGTAAATCTCTGGCACGTAATTACGCAGAGTGCTTCGATTTGGGGCCGGTTAACCCATTTGCTTGGCTGGCAATGGGTTAAGTGGCTCAGCAGAAGAGCCTTAGGCCCCAGGCTCCGAAAATATTTGGCGAAGCGAGAAAGGCCAAAACAGCAAATTGAAAAAGAGAAATTCTTTTCTGCTTTTGGCCAGCAAAATGGTTGACTTGAAGCGCTGACAGTGTGTCTGCCAAAGTATCTATGGATAGATGGATGGATGGATAGTTGCTAGCCGAAGCAAACAAGATGATTACGATTTTGTGTTTGACGCACTTGTTGTTCGGTTTCCAGAGTTCACTGTTGTTCACTGTTCACCGATTGCTGATGCTTTTGGACAAGAGAAACAATCAACAAAAAAAAAAAGCTGGCCTGCGGGCCTCTAAAGAAATTTCTTTTGGGTGAAAACCGGCCGGGAAAAATATGTGGATATGTGGAAATTCTCCGAATGGGATTTGCTGCGGATTTGAAAGATAATTTAGGCTGTGCAACAGCATGATATGCAGTTCCCCAAACAATGCGGCAATTAAAAATGCATTTGCCATGCATACAAAACTAAAATCCGGCGTTTTGCATATCATTTCTGTTGAGGTTGGTCAACAGAAATTGATTTCCATCCCAAGTGCATTACCCAATATGCATCAGTTTAGCCCGTACATATACCTATGCCTTTTTGTATAAATTTCTGTGCCGGGCTTGGATTTGTGCAATTTTCACACAATTGTTTGCGGCATTCGCATGGCATGTCGAATTAAGTTGTTACAGTAACTAATCTGATGATTAATTAGACAACAATTTCAGATGCAATTGGGTCGCCGTCAAATGGGTCAACTCCATCCGGAGAACTGGCTAAAAAGCTGTGCTTAAGCTTGAGCTGCCGGATGGCTCAATTAATTATGACAGCGTATTCGTACACAGGGAAAAATAAAGGCATTAATTTTAAACGAAATTTTGTAATGTTCGTTAAAGCTCTACAAAATGTGTGAGTTTTAAAGTAATAATATTACGAGTATAATACAATATTATTGGATCTTAAAGGTCGCTATCAGATTAAAGTATTTCTACTCTTTTAAACCGTCAATTGATTTCTGTGATATGGCACAAAATTAAGCTGTGTTCACTGGATGTAGTACCAAAAGTAGGCCAAGTTCGGGTTTATTTTTCCTCTGTGCATATTTGCAAATATTTGAAGGGAAACTATTTATCAAGCGGCGGGTGAGGAGCGGGTGAGCCGCTATCATTGAAGCTCTTACTAACGGTTTCGCACTCTCTTCCCGGCCAACTTTAATGGCCGTACCACACACATGGACCCGCATATATAGATATATACAGACGTATATCCAAATAGTGGAGCCGCAGGGCGCAGCCGCAACTGCCGATTCATTGGGAAATTAGTCAAAGCAATTCCACGCCAATGATGCGTTGCTCGGAGTTTCTTTTTGTGGTGAACTGAGCTCTGGGCCCCCCTTTGCCCCTTTTAGCCCCCTTCGACGGCAACAACAATCTGCTTAAATGAACGGAAGTCGGCAATGTAGACGCCAGTCGCTGGTTAATACTGTTAACCGATGCTGTCCGATTGGTTTTGGTTATCTCAGTTTTCTCATTTTTCTCGCTGTTACTTGCTTACTTTTGTTCGTTTTCAATTTACGGGTGAAATGGCTTTTATTTCTGGATTATTTTTTTTTTTCGTTTGTAAAAGTTGTTTTCACAGCCATGGCTAACAAGAAAATAATGAACAAAAAAATTAAAGCACACACGCAGAAAATCAATGGATATCAGCGGAAGTGCAACCTGTAGCAATTTCTCACAATTGGGGGTTGTTCCAGGGTTCGATTCAAAGTGCATGCCAACTACAGTAGTCAATCGAATGAGCGAACCAATGATATAGCAAGGAAAGCAGAGCTAGCTATGTTTTGAGATGTTTTATAATGTGTGTCATTTTTAGTATAATTGTTTACTCATAAGGCCTTTGTTTACTATTCAGAAACTTCTGCGAAATTCTAGACTGATTGTAATTAACCTTGTTGTGATTATTCAAATTCTTAAAATAGTTAAATAATTTGTTTTTCCATCTTTTGAGTCACATCAACTGCTATGATTTACTTTGTTTACTATTCTTTATCTTAAAATGTCACTTTATAATGCTGTATAATTACAACTCTTTTATTTTTTTTTATATTTTTTCTTTGTATTGAAATAAATTTAAATCTTTGGTATAACTTTGAATGAACCTATTACAGTCTTGGGTGTGTTAATTAATCTAAAAACTGTTTAATAACTTTTTTCTTAATCGGTTCACTTTTTCGATCTTGTACTGTGTCAGCAATGTTTTTGTTTTGGGCTGACATTGACACCTGTTCACCTGTCCGCCCGGTCACCTGGTCACCCTTTGGGCCCCTCCACTGTCATTTATTCTTTCCGTTTTTCGTTTGTCGCTTTTGGCTTTTTGTTTATTTGTCATTTGCTTTGCGCATGAGTCGCATGTTTAGCTGCTGTTGTCTGTTGCTGTCACTTTGGGCATATCGCACGCTCCAGTGACCCATTATATATACACAGATATAGTGCCTATTTGGTGGCAGGAGTGCAGGGCTCTCACAAACACAGTCGCACTTAAATGTTTCGGTTTTGGGACAAGGCTCAGAGGTCTGCCCTTCGAGGTCCCGCTTCAACGGTTCGAGGTTTGAGGTTCGTGATTCGGAGTTGGGGGTTCGAGGCTCGAGGTTCGAGGGGTTCACCTATCGCCGAGAGGTTCGTAAAGATCGTACACTATATAGCCAGTACACGTACTCTCCGATCTCGAGCGCCACTCCGTTTGTGCAGAAGGTTGAAACGCGAATGAGCGGAGAGCCGCAAACTTTTGAGCTGCGAGTCTGGCTTACAACAACTTCGGTTGCCTTAGCTTTACCGTTTGTTGTCGGTTCTCTCTGGGCATTCGAATGCTCTCCGATGAATGCTATATCGCTTGGCTCGCTCTCTTTATTGTTGCTGCTCAACAGCTGTCACAGAAATTTAGCGGCAAACTTTTGTTCTGCACTCTTCTTCCACATATTTTGCATCAGCTTTTGGGGGTAGAACTTGTTTTTCGGGAGGGGGTTGACAAACGGGTTCCGATTTCAAGTTCGACTAGGGTTTAGTCTAGGGCATAGAAAGTGCGATTCTGCGGAGGGAGTGCACATTTAACCCTTCAAGTTTCTATACAATTCAAATAATTTGTTAAAGAATAAAAGTATACCAATTAGTATTACTTTAATGTTTCAATTAAAACTAAATAACTTGTTAATTTTTTTATTTAATATTTAATATTTATAGAAAATATAATTTGCTTATAAAAGTAACATATTTTAATACTCTGTTTTTCAGATCTTCTGAAGTTGTTACAGACTTAGTGGGTTAAGCATTTCCATGGCGTCCAATTGTTGTCCCAAGTGCTTAACTTTTTCTTGGCTGCTTTCTTCCCGTCTGTTTTTTCTTCTGCTCTGCTCTCTCTCCCTCTCTTCGGCATTCTTTCTTCCTGTCAGCCTTTTTGCACGGTACAACTTTTCCACTTAGCGCGACGTGTGCTAAAACGTTAATTTGTATGCATAGGGAAGCAATTGAAGATGGGAGATTGCAAGACAGAGGGGGAGTGACAGCCGATGAAAGAGGCTGAAGAAAGGGGCGGGGGTCTGGGATGGAGATTGTGACTGAAACTGACCACTGGAGATTCGGTTACACAAGTTCAGTTAGTCAGTTAGAAGGAAGTCTCGCGAAAGTAGAGACAGACGGCTATAAATAGTTTATGGGCCGGCCAGCCGATTTGGGTAGTACCCTATCTCGGGGCCTCTGGAGTGCGAGAGAGACGGAGGGGCGGAGTGGGCCTGGTTTATGTTTATTGCCCCGCTTTGACCCACCTCGGTACTTGGTACTTGGAACGCTGCGTGGAGTAGGAAGCGTTTAACTACCTTTGAAAGACATTTGATACATGGGCCAGTCGGGTTTTGCAGAGTTTATTTTTGTCTGCGTTTTCTTTTCGTTTTATGTGTTTTTCGCCGACACTCCTGCTACGCCATCCAAGGCAGCGCATTGCACCTGACACACTCACCTGAGATGGAGGAACAACAAGCGACACACTGAGGAAAAAGTTCAGCAAGATTCCTAAAAATATAATAAATATCAATCCTAAAACTATCATAAAATTAAGAATTCTTTTGTAAAATTTTCAGATTTGTGTTCTCTTTTATTTATAGAACCAATTTAAAATTATTTGTAAAAATTTCATTTCTGTAAAACTACTTAAGACTGAAATAAAAGAAATATTTGTAATGGTCTTTAGGCACCTTTATTTTGCAGTGCACTCCATAACAATATAAAGCCAGCATACCGAAACTTTTATCTTTGGAATTTTGCTCAACACCTTTATTTTGATCAATTTTTCGCACTCTTTTAGCTGCTATTGATACGCAAGCCAGAACAGGAAGGAGAAAAAAATGTGCGGTGCATTAAGAGATGACTTTCCGTTCTGCTCAACATTCACATCAAAATACCTCGCCATCATGCCGAGAGATAAAAGGCGCAGAACCTCTGGAAACCGTTAAGATAATCATCAATGAATGCGCGAATGGGTGAATGAGTGAGTGAGTGAGTGAGGAAGAGGTGTGTTAGCCACCCTGCAAGCCATTGTTTATATCCCATGGT